ATAATTTTTTAAAAATGTATGAAGAAAATAAAAATACAGGGGCAGATATTTGGTGCAGTGATTAAGATGCTGCTTGGAATTCCCATCTCCCATATCAGAGTGACTGAGAGTTCAATCTTTTCCACTTGCAAACCAGCCTCCTGCTGAATCACGCTCTGGGAAGTAGTCAGTGATACATCAAGTACTTGGATCCTGAAACCCACAGAGAAGACTAGGATTGGGTTACCAGATCCCACCTTCAATCTGGTCCAGGCCCTGCTGTCATGCATGTTTAAGGAGTTCCTTGTGGATGAAAGATCTCTCTCTCTCTATTCTCCCTTCCTTTTAAATTGTAAACAAGTAAGTAAACTTTAAAAATATAAACTGAATAGATAATGAAAATATAAAATCTATGGGACATGATGAAATCAATGTTTACAGAAAAAATTCTAGTTGTAAATGTCCCCATTAAAATTTCAGATCACAATTAGGGAAACATGACAATGAAATGCAATTTGGTACATTGCACTGAACAGAAACAGAACATTAATGGAAGAACTGTGAAATCTAAATTAAAGATGAATTTTAGTTAATAGTAATGTAGTAATGTAAATTTCACAATTTTGACAAATGTACTATGGTAATATAAAATAATAATAGGAGTAACTGAGTGGAAAATATATAATTCTTTGTACCAACTTTGTAACTTTTCTGTAAATATACAATTCATTGCAAAGTAAAAAGTTTATTGAAAAAAAAGTACAGTCATCACATCTACCAATAGAATGGTTAAGCTCAAAAAAATTTTAAAATATCATGTGGTGGTAAGAATTCAAGGCAACCAGAAATCTCATCCACTGTGGGCTATAATATATTGGTACAATAACCAAAGCAAACAGAAGAACAAATGGTAGTATCTACTAAAATGGAACAAATGCAAAACTCTGTAATCCCAAAATATCACTCCTAGGTACACAACCACCCAAAATGCACACATGCCAGATAACAGAATTTTTATAACACTATTCATAAAAACTCAATCTGGAAATCACCCAAATGTGGTAAACAATACAACTGATCAGTGAACTGTAATACAATAACATGACTGAATACTACACAAACTAAAAATAGTCTACAACTTCAAGCAACAATATGGATGAGCTCCACAAAGATTATATCAAATCAAAGAAGTCTAGACAAAATAAGAACACAAACTGTAGGACTCCATTTATAGAAAATGAAGAAACAAGTACATCTAATACTATAAGCTTAGACAGTAATTGGCTTTGGAGTACAGACAAATGACTAAAAGAAAATAAGAAGTTCATCTGAGGTAGTAAGATTCTATCTTTTAACCTGGTTGCTGGTTATCAGATTAAGTTTGGTTTATGGAAATCCAAGTTGAATATTTAATATCTGAGTGTTTTTCTTATGAATATTTCAATAAAAAAATTTTAAGACAGGCCAATCTTTAATAATTCATTTCATATTTTGAACAATATGGTAACAAATACAACATATTTTATATAAAAGCCTCTCTATGCTATATAGTCTTTCATAATTTACATAAAGTAAATAAGATATATATCAAGTTAATACTTTATCCCTTTTAGCATTTTTTGTTCTACTTAATACTATTGGTTGAACTCTGTAATTAACACACAATTATTCTTAGGTGTTTAAATTTAACTGAAAAGTGATCTCTGTTAAATATAAGAGTGAGAATAAAGAGAGGGAGGAGATGTACAATTTGGGACATGCTCAAGCTGACTTGCCCCAAATGGTAGAGTTAGAAATGTGCCAGGGGATTCCAAACCAATCCCATCAAGGTGGCATGTACCAATGCCATCTCACTAGTCAAAGTGATCAGTTTCAGTTCACAATTGATCATACTGATGGGTCTAAGAGTCAAAGGGATCACATAAACAAGACAAGTGTCTGCTAATACTAACTGATAGAATAAAAAAGGGAGAGAATGACCCAACATGGGAATCAGGATACACAGTAGACTCATAGAATGGCAAATGCCTTAAACAGCACTCTGGCCTCAGAATCAGCCATTAAGGCATTTGGATCTGGCTAAAAAGCCCATGAAAATTTCTCAAGCATGGAAAGCCAAGACACTGTGGAAAAAAAAAAAAAAAAAAAACCACCTCAATGAAGATCTCTGTGAGTCAGATCCCAGCAGAAAGAACATCAAAGAGAACTTTCTCTGAAGGGAGGAGTGAACTTCCACTTTGACTATGACCTTGTGTAAATAAGATTGAAGTCGGAGAACTCAAAAGGCTTCCATAGCCTTGGCAACTCATGACTAGAACCTAGGGAGATTACTGATGCCTTAAACAAGAGTGTCAATTTGTTAAGTCAACAACAGGAGTCACTGTGCACTTACTCCTCATGTAGGATCTCTGTTCTTAATGTGTTGTTCAATGTGAATTAATGCTATAACTAGTCCTCAAACAGTATTTTACACTTTATGTTCTGTGTGGCTACAAACTGTTGAAATCTTTACTTCATATATACTAAATCAATCTTCTGTGTATAAAGATAATTGAAAATGAATCTTGATGTGAATGGAATGGGAAAGGGAGCGGGAGTTGGGAGGGTTGTGGGTGGGAGGGAAGTTATGGGGGGGGAAGCCATTGTAATCCATAAGCTGTACTTTGGAAATTTATATTTACTAAATAACAGTTAAAAAAAAAAAGATGTGAGTGAGACTCTTCCTTTGGCTCAGGAATTTTCAACTGAACATAGCAAGGGTAAAATCACTAGTAACCCTCTTCTAAAAAGAGTGACCTAAGATTCAGGCCAGATCCTTCTCTGGGACTTGTTAAACAATGGTAGAACAGGTCCTGTTAACAACAAACACCTCTCTCCTTCTCAGTTATTTTAAGGTAACTGAGAGATAAGGTCCTGAAATTGCAGTTTAGAGAGGAAAGCAAAGTTGAGATATTTTTCCCTTCAACTCACCAATGAGGCAAGAATTCAAGAGTATCCTTGTAAAGACTAGGGGTACCTTATAAACACTGGCACCTCATTCTCTAGTTGGATATGAGCCCAGGCAGCAAATTTACAAGTCTTTGTGTCTAGCTGAACAGAAGAAAAGGAAATTAGAGCGAGATGATTGTCAGAGAAGAGAAAGTGGTTAGAAATAGATCCTTCTGGCCGGCGCCGCGGCTCACTAGGCTAATCCTCCGCCTTGCGGCGCCGGCACACCAGGTTCTAGTCCTGGTCGGGGTGCCGGATTCTGTCCCGGTTGCCCCTCTTCCAGGCCAGCTCTCTGCTGTGGCCAGGGAGTGCAGTGGAGGATGGCCCAAGTGCTTGGGTCCTGCACCCCATGGGAGACCAGGAGAAGTACCTGGCTCCTGCCATTGGATCAGCGTGGTGCGCCAGCTGCCGCGTGCTGGCCACGGCAGCCATTGGAGGGTAAACCAACGGCAAAGGAAGACCTTTCTCTCTGTCTCTCTCTCTCACTGTCCACTCTGCCTGTCAAAAAAATAAATAAATAAAAATTAAAAAAAAAAAAAGAAATAGATCCTTCTTCATTACTACTTAGCATGGAAAGGCTGTATGAGTTTCCTATGGATTAAATGAACATGAAATAGCTAGGACTGAACCACCTTACTAGTGGTACCTACTCCATGAGGACTGATTATAAAAGGATTCCAGTAGAAAGATGATGTGGGGTAAATAGCAAAGAGAGGTAACTGGGTTGATACTGTAAAATGTCAAGTCAGAAACAGATTTCCCACATCAGGGACTTTTCTGCATTGGTAAATGACCAGCATATTATGGAATCTGCCCAACATGTCATTAAGCTGTGGACAGTGGCAGAAAAAAAAACCATTTTATGCTGATATCACCAAAATATTGAAGCTTTCAAGAAACTAGTTTTATATATGTGTATGTGATACCAGACAATACATTATAGTTACTAGAATCTTCTTGTTCATTAAAAAATACTAATAATTATTCTTGGGTGTTTAAATCCAATTGAAAAATTAATCCCTGTTAAAAATGAAAGTGGGAATAAGAGAGGGAGGAGATGTACAGTTTGGCACATGCTCCCTCAGACTTACCCCTAAGAGTAAAGCTAAGAACTTGCCATGGGACTCCAAATCCCATTAAGTTGGCAGGTACCAATGCCATCTTACTGGTCAAAGTGATCAGTTTAAGTTCATAACTGATCATAAAGATAGGATTAAGTATCAAAGGGATCACATAAACAAGACAAGTGTCTGCTAATAATAATTGATAGAATAAAAAAAAGGGAGAGAATGACCCAACATGGGAATCAGGATACACAGTAGACTCATAGAATGGCAAATGCCTTAAACAGCACTCTGGCCTCAGAATCAGCCATTAAGGCATTTGGATCTGGCTAAAAAGCCCTTGAGAGTTTCTCAAGCATGGAAAGCCAAGACACTGTGGCAAAAAATGACCTCAATGAAAGATCTCTGTGAGTCAGATCTCAGTTGAAAAAAGGGGCCATCAAAGAAAGAGGTACTTTTCTCTGAAGGGAGGAAAGAACTTCCACTTTAATTATGGCCTTATCTAAATAATGCTGGAGTTTGTGAACTCAAAAGGCTTCCATAGCCTTGGCAGCTCATTATAAGAGCCTCAGGTGATTACTGAGGAACATAAATAATAGTGTCAATTGTTAAATCGACAACAGGAGTCACTGTGCACTTACTCCCCATGTAGGATCTCTGTCCTTAATGTGTTGTACTACGGTAAAACTAGTATTCAAATAGTACTTTATACTTGTGTGTCTGTATGGGTGAAAACTGTTGAAATCTTTACTTAGTATAGAGTTGATCTTCTGTATATATAGTTAAAAATGAATCTTAATGAAGAATGGGATGGTAGAAGGAGAGGAGATGGGATGGTTTGCGGTGGGAGGGTGATTATGGAGGGAAGAACCGCTATAATACAAAAGTTGTACTTTCAAAATTTACATTTATTAAATAAAAGTTTTTTATAAAAATACTACTACTATCTTGAAAATTTTAACAACCAACCTTTGGCAATGGTGTAGATAAAGCATTTTTGGCAGATGTCCACAAACAGTCCCTTTTATCTTTGGATTTGCCATGATCTGTTGATGTGAAAGTTCGAGATTTATTTTGTGGAGGAGTTGCTTTACAATCAACTTTCCAATACTTAGTTTCAGGTGTTTCCAATGTTTGTGTTCTCTGCATTGAACAACAAAAGTGAATAAAACTATCATTAAACATCATTTTATTAAACATTTATTTCTTTCATTAAAGTGTAACTGGTAGAATTAACACCACAATAAACTAGACTAAAATTTACTCCCAAATTCATTATTGATTAAGTAAGTTCAAATACATTATACTAATCCTCTTTGTCACAGTATTTGCTTTCTTAAGATAAAAATGGTATCTGACTCTTCTAGTCTTCACTGAGCTTATATGAAAACAAGGTAATCTCAAGTCTCTGTTTGATTAAAAGTACAGGATTATTTAAAAAAATAAAAGATCAGCATCAAAACTCCTTATTCTCACATTTAAGAAGTACAGGGTGTGATATGGTGTTGGGGCCATATTTTATTTTATTTTATTTTTTTTGACAGGCAGAGTGAACAGTGAGAGAGAGAGACAGAGAGAAAGGTCTTCCTTTGCCGTTGGTTCACCCTCCAATGGCCGCCGCGGCTGGCGCGCTGCGGCCGGCGCACCACACTGATCCGATGGCAGGAGCCAGGAGCCAGGTGCTTTTCCTGATCTCCCATGGGGTGCAGGGCCCAAGCACTTGGGCCATCCTCCACTGCACTCCCTGGCCACAGCAGAGGGCTGGCCTGGAAGAGGGGCAACTGGGACAGAATCCGGCGCCCCGACCGGGACTAGAACCTGGTGTGCCGGCGCCGCTAGGCGGAGGATTAGCCTAGTGAGCCATGGCGCCGGCCGCCATATTTTATTTTATTTATAAAATAAAGCCCAGGATATCTTCAAAAAAAAAAAAAAAAAAAAAACCTCCTTATTCTGTCATTCACTCCAACACATGGACCATCTTCTACTGCTTCCCCAGCCCACAGAACAGAGCTTGATTGGAAGTGGAGCATGGCCGGCGCCACGGCTCACTAGGCTAATCCTCCGTCTTGCGGCGCCGGCACACCAGGTTCTAGTCCCAGTTGGGGCGCCGGATTCTGTCCCGGTTGCCCCTCTTCCAGGCCAGCTCTCTGCTGTGGCCCGGGTGTGCAGTGGAGGATGGCCCAGGTGCTTGGGCTCTGCACCCCATGGGAGACCAGGAGAAGTACCTGGCTCCTGCCATCGGATCAGCGCGGCGTACCGGCCACGGCGGCCATTGGAGGGGGAACCAACGGCAAAGGAAGACCTCTCTCTCTGTCTCTCTCTCTCACTGTCTGCCTATCAAAAAAAAAAAAAAGGAAGTGGAGCAGCAGGAACTATAACTGGCACCCATATAAGAAACCAGCACTGCAGCTGGCAGTTTTACCTGCTAAGCCACAGCACTTTCCCCTGAATGGAGCATTTAAAGAGTTGTGGCTACTGCCTGCAACACCAGTATCCCATACAGGCACCAGTTCATGACCCAGCTGCTTCATTTCCAATCCAGCTCCTGACTAATGGTCTGGGAAAAGCAGCTGATGATGGCTCATGGCTCAAATGTTTGGGCTCTTGTAACCCATGAGGGAGACCTGGAGGAAGCTCCTGCTTCAGCCTAGCTCAGCCTTGGCCATTGTGGCCATCTGGGGAATGAATCCACAGTTGGAAGATCTCTATCTCCCTGTTTATCCACCCCCGCAACTCTAACTTTCAAATAAATAATTAAACCTTACCCCCCACCAAAAAAAAGGTGGGGGCCTACAAGGACAAAACTTCAAAGGTTCTCTAGGACTTATTAAAAAGTATAGGAGAGGCCGGCACCGCAGCTCAATAGGCTAATCCTCCACCTGCGGCGCCAGCACCCCAGATTCTAGTACCAGTCAGGGCACAGGATTCTGTCCCGGTTGTCCCTCTTCCAGTCCAGCTCTCTGCTGTGGCCCAGGATTGTAGTGGAGGATGGCCCAGGTGCTTGGGCCCTGCACCCACATGGGAGACCAGGAGAAGCACCTGGCTCCTGGCTCCTGCCATCGGATCAGCGCGGTGCGCCGGCCGCAGGTGCCATTGGGGGGTGAACCAACGGACAAGGAAGACCTTTCTCTCTCTCGCTCTCTCACTCTCTCTCTCTCACTGTCCACTCTGCCTGTCAAAAATTTAAAAAAAAATTTTTTTTAATTTTAAAAAGTATAGGAGAGGCCCTGTGACAGATGGTTGACCTTGCAATAAGTTTTTAAATTAAATGGCTATACAGTATAAGTTTAAAAGGCAACTACATGGGGACCAGCATTGCAGCACATATCACATCGGAGTCCTGGCTGCTTAGCTTCCCATCCAGCGTCACATGAATGTGCTTGGGAAAGAAGCAGATGGTGGCTCAAGTACTTGACCCCTGCCACCAATGTCGGAGACCAGGATGGAGTTCCTGGCTCTTGGCTTCAGCCTGGTCCAGCCCTGGCGGTTGCAGGAATTTGGGGCATGAACCAACATATGGAAGATCTTGATATTTATCTCTCTCTCTCTCTCTCTCTCTCTCTCTCTTTTCTGTCTCTCCTCCTTCTCTCCCCACTCCCTCCCTTCTTCCCTCACTCTTTCCCTGTCACTCTTCCTTCAAAATAAATAAATCTAAAAAAAAAAAGACAACTGCATGAACTATATTAAAAAAACACTGAACTATATTAAAAACATGAGCCAAGTAATATAATATGCACTTTTCTCCTGGGTCTTTTGCTATCTTGCCAGGTGATTATAAGTAAACATCCAAATATCTCTAAACTTAAATTTATCCACCTATAAAATCAGAGAATTAAATTATGGGATTCACAACTTTCTTGCTCAGTTCCTAGTCACTTTAAAATCCTTTTGTCAGCAGTAGTGAATTTCAGCAGCATTTTTTTCAGAGTAGCACTTCTGTATCCTTACTGCATATTTCTTCATCATCACTGAGTACATGATTTTGATGAAAGCAAATTTCTTCTATGCTTTGGATTCATCAGAAGACAGACACCCTGGGAATCTCCAAAGCAGCTGCTTTCATTCACAGATATTTCCCCCCCAATAATCCTGAGAATGACAATTTGATGTCACTATACCACCTTGTGGCCATATCAGGAAATTGACATTTTCTTAGTCTAAAAGAAAACATTCCCCCTTTGAAGAATACTGAATTACTCTCTTTACCATACGTCCTGGAAACATATGTGCTTTCTTATAAGTTACTTTCTTTACTGCATATTACATTTCCAATGACACACATATATAGAACATTCATCATTTTTCTAAACAAACACTTACATGACATTTAACAATGTGCCAAGCATTATTCTAAATGTTTCATTTAATCTCCATAGCCACTTGAGGAGATAGGTACTGTTAATATCCTCTTATAGGTGAGGAAACTGAGGTATTAGCAAGTTAAATAACTTGTCCAAACTCAGAAACATTTAGTAAATGCAATGATCATATGTAAGGCTTATGTGTTAGCAGTGTTGGAATAAAGTAAAGGAAAAAAGCCCAGTTAGAGTTCTTAATTAATTTTATCATTTTTTTCATTTTACAACATATATATCCAGACTCCCCAGATAAAATACATAGCATTTACCAATCTACTTGGTAAGAGACACAAAGGGCATATATTGTGAAATTAAACATGAATCAAAACAAAGAATATATGATATATGTTTTCAAAATATGAACACATTCTATATTTAGAAAAGAATTTTTTGATCTGCATCAGACGCTTCTCTAAGACTCAGGGGCCAGCACTGGGGCACAGCAGGTAAAGTCACCGCCTGCAGTGCTGGCATCCCATATGGGCACCAGTTCGAGTCCTGGCTGCTCCACTTCCGATCCGGCACTCTGCCATGGCCTGGGAAAGCAGTACAAGATGGCCAAAGTCCTTGGGCATCTGCGCCCGCATGGGAGACCTGGAAGAAGCTCCTAGCTCCTGGCTTTGGATCGGCACTGCTCCAGCTTTTGCGGCCAGCTGGGAAGTGAACCAGTGGATGGAAGACCTCTCTCTCTCTCTCTCTCTCTCTCTCTCTCTCTCTCTCTCTCCCCCTCCCTCTCTCCCTCTCTCCCTCTCTCCCTCTCTCTCCCTCCCCTTCTCTCTCTGTGTAACTCTGAATTTCAAATAAATAAATAAATTTAAAAATAAAAAGACTATATCTAATTATGTGGTTATTAGTACTGTATTTTTGGGGCTGGTGTTGTGGCATAGCAGGTAAAGCTGCCACCTGCAGTGTCGGTATCCAATATGGGCACCAGTTCTAGTCCTAGCTGCTCCACTTCCGATGCAGCTCTCTGCCATGACCTGGGAAAGCAGTAGAAGATAACCCAAGTCCTTGGGCCATTGCACCCGCATGGGAGACCCAGAAGAAGCTCCTGGCTCCTGGCTCCTGGCTTCAGATCAGCGCAGCTCTGGCCATTGTGGCCAATTGGGGAGTGATCCAGTGGATAGAAGACCTCTCACTCCCTCTGCAACTCCCTCTCTCTCTGTGTAACTCTGAATTTCAAATAAATACATACATCTTTAAAAAACTGTATTTTTTAAATCTGAGAGGCAGAGAGACAGAGCATCCATCCACTGGTTCGCTCCCCAAATGCCCATAACAGCAAGGACTAGGCTGGAGCCACAAGCCAGGAGCCAGGAAATCAAATAGATCTCTCACTTAGGTAGCAGGGACCCAACTACTTCAGCCATCACTTACTGCTTCTCAGGGTCCACACTGGTATGAAGCCGGAATTGAGAGTGGAGATGGGGCTCAAACCCAGACACTCTGCTATATGCTGTGGGCACCCCAAGCATCTTAACTGGTAGGTCAAATGCCCACCCCTGTCATAATGATAATTTCTCTAAATATGTTTTCAAGTGTTTAGCACAGTGTCCTGGACACATGAAACATTCAATATTCACTCATAGGGTCAATGTTTCTGTCCTTTTTTTTTCTTTGCACTCAAATGTAACTAAATTGTAGCATCATCCATACCTAACTACTGAATTGTTCCCAGACTATTCTGTCACTTTCAGTTTAACTATAATGATAGCAACCTCAGTGGAAACTTAGCAGACTATATCACTATGTATAAAGAATACACTAACAATTTTTTAAAAATTAGTCAAGATTTTTCTCCAATAATCATATCATCAAATAGGATAGAGGCTGAAAGGTACACTTCTTCCCCATACTTCCCCATATGTAATATTCCCAACCTTTTTCTGTATCCTTAGGGGAGGAACAGTAACCTAATGTGATTTAGTGAATTTAAAAAAAGAAATTGGGCATATATGAGTACAGTACAGCCTCTTCCCTTAGTAAGGAACAGGCTTATTCTCCTCTTGATAACAAAAGGATGCATGCATTCACTCTGCTATATTCCCTATATGCTATAAGTTTTACAAGAGCAGGCCATAAAGCAGGTTGACCTGACCTAGTCAGACTCTACCTATGACAGAGTAGGTAAATCTAATTTGAGATTACAGAATTAAGATATCTTTTTGCCTTCAAATATAAGAAACATTCTCCAATAACAGTTATCAATAATAAAAATAGTATTTTGGTTCTCCTTTGACTTTCTCAATTAGTTCAGAACTTAAGTGAGGAAAATAGAATATCATTCTTAGCCCCCTCAAAACTCAAAATTATATATAATTATAAACATTAAAATTTATATTTTAAAAATTATTTAATTGAACATATTTATGGGATACAATGTGATGTACTTGATATATGTGCTCAGTGTATGAAGATCAAATCAGATTTAGCACTTCATCTTCATAAAATTATTTTATTAACACTAGAATTTTTAATCAAAATATTTCCCCCTAACATTGAAAATTTTTCAAGAAAACACAGAACTTCCTAATTTACTAGTATTGTAAGAATTATAAAAACTGAAATCTTCTCTTATGAGAGGATGAATAATAAATGCTTTGAAATCTTTAACTAATGCTTTTGAATTAACGAATAGCAAGAAAAAATTTTAGAAGTAAATTATGTGGTATATTTTAAATATTATTTTCCCACTTATGAACAAAAGAATTCTAAATAAATTATTAGAAAATGGGGGTTGGAATGACACAGTGAGTTAAACTACCATTTGCAATGGGCATACTATACTGGAGTTCTGGTTTGAGTCCCAACTGCTTCCCTTCCTATCCAGTTCCGTGATAGTGCACCCAAGAAGGCAACAGAAGATGACTGAAGTGCTTGGGCCCCTGCCACCCATATGAAAGACCAGGGTAGAGTTCTTGGCTCCTGGCATCAGTCTGGCCCAGTCCCAGCTGTTGCAGCCATTTGGAGAGTGAACCCACAGTTAGAAGATCTCTCCCTCTAAGTCACTCTGCCTTTCAGAGTTTAAAAGTTTAAAAATAAAATTTTTAATTGTTATAAAATGAAATAGCTTTTAAAGAAAACTATAAAATTCTTACCTTGTCTCTTTTTTCTTTGTGACTAACTCTATTCTCTTCCATCTCTCCTTTGAGTTTTTCCTATTAAAATAAACATCAAGAGCACAAAACAAAATCATTACCATTATTTCAGCTGAATGTTCTTATCAAAATCTTTCCTAACAAGTACTATCAAAGATGAATAACCTCTCAATATTATAAAATAATGAAAAGAAGACAAATTAGCTCCTTGCTACAGAGATATCACTGGTTATCCTTTATCTGAAATACTTGGACCGAGAAGTGCTTCAGATTTCAGATATTTTGGGGCTTTGGAATATCTGCATGTACATAATGAGATATGTTGGGGATGGCACATAAGTATAAACAGGAACTTCACTTACATTTCATATATACCTTGTATACATAGCTTGAAGGTAATTTTATATAATATTTTTTAGTGTGCTTATATTGTTTATTTTTTTAGTTATTTTTTTTTTTTTTGACAGGCAGAGCGGACAGTGAGAGAGAGAGGGAGAGAGAGGTCTTCCTCTTTCCGTTGGTTCACCCCCCAATGGCACCTGCGGCCGGTGCATCGCGCTGATCCGAAGCCAGGAGCCAGGTGCTTCTCCTGGTCTCCCATGTGGGTGCAGGGCCCAAGCACCTGGGCCATCCTCCACTGCACTCCCGGGCCATAGCAGAGAGCTGGACTGGAAAAGGAGCAACTGGAACAGAATCCAGCGCTCCGACCGGGACTAGAACCCGGGGTGCTGGCGCCGCAGGTGGAGGATTAGCCTATTGAGCCGCGGCGCCGGCAGTGTACTAGGTTTTGATTCTCTTTTTATTCTTATCTATCTCCAGTGTCTGCCTGTGAAATCTTGAATAAGTATCTTAAAATTCTGAATCTCAACTTTCTTATTTATAGGATAAAGTCAATAGAATAGACTACAAAGTAAGGCATACACAGAAGTAACTGAACTATGGAGAGCTGCAGAAATTCAAAGTATTATGGGCCTTTAGATGCAGAATTAGCTTTTTCCCTGTGTGTTGAATAGAAGTGTATTTCAGGTGGATTCTGAGTAATATATAAGCTTTCAACATGAGATAAACAGACAACATGAGATCAAAAAAGAAAATGCTGAGAACCAAATACAATTACATGAATAAACAAAAAGGTATACAATATTTAGGAAATATCATATAACTTTTGCTCAATAAGGTACGTGTATAGAAGCAGTCAAGATAAAAATAGAAAGAAGATTTGTTGTCAGAGGGAGAAGTATAATATGCCAAGCTACAGAATTTATTCAGTAGGACAAAGAAAATTTAAGCCTGGCCTTCAGAAATGGATATGTAATACGTAAAATTTAAATGGCTCACAGACTTAAATGTAAACATTAAACTATAAAGCTTTTAGGAAAAGACATGCAACAAAATCTTTGGCATTGAAGGCTTAACAAAGAATTCTTGGACTGGATACCAAAAGCACAATCCACAAAAGGGAAAACTGAGAAATTGAACTTTATCGAAGATCAAAGACTTTCGTTCTTAGAAAACTTTTAAGAGGATAAAAAGAGAAGCAATAAATTGAGAGCATATGCAGTACTCTCCCTTTATCATGAGAGATACATTTCAAAACCCCTAGTGAAACTGTGAGTAGCTGGGCTGGCATTGTGGAATAGCAGGTAAGGCTGTTGCATGAGACACCAGCATCCCATATGGGCACCTAATTTGAATCCCGGCTGTTCCACCTCCAATTCAGTTCCCCAATAATGTGCCCAGGAAAGAAGAATATGGTCCAAGTACTCCCACGTTACCTCCGTGGAAGACCCCAATGGAGTTCCAGGTTCCTGCTTTGGCCTGGCCCAGCCTTGCTGTTGTGGCCATTTGGGGAGTAAACCAGCAGATGGAAGACTGATCTCTTTCTCTCTTTCTCTCTCTCTCTCTCTCACTCCACCTTTCAAATAAGTAAAATAAATCTTAAAAAAAAAAAAAAAACTGTGACTAGTACCAAACCTGTATATACTATGTGACTTTTCCACCTTAAACTAAGTACTTATCATACCCTATGGTTGTAACTTTTGCAGTTTGAGGTGTGATTGCAAAACTAGCATGAATCTTTCCCTTTCTTCACAATTCACAGACAAAAGATTCTTTTTTTTTTTTTTTTTTGCAGGCAGAGTTCTGCAAAATCACTACTGGGCAATATCAGAAAGCTGAGGAGGTGGAAACAAAGTTCAAGGGGTACAAGTATCATCCAGTCTGCACTCTTCTGCAGGCCCAAATTCTCCAGTGTTATCACTAGAACATGGACCTGACCTTAAGCTGTCCTACTCTGGCCAACCATGACATGAAATGTGTCAATCATGCCAAATAGAGCATGCTGAAGAAGAGAATATAAAATAAACTTTTAGAACACACAAAGTCCTTCAATGTTAACTCCAGAAGTGGAACTTTTTTTCTTAGTAAGGAAATATCTCATTTAAAGATGAAACTACTAAAGACAAACACTGAAAAACAGATTCAACAGAATTATATCAACTTTTCACTTCAACAATTTGAAAAGTCAAGGCCTAGATCAGGGATCAGTCATCAAAGTCTTAGAAACCCCATTTATAATGAATAAAAGGACAGGCCTCTCATCTTCTAATACTTTCCCTTTTACCATTAAATGTTTCTCTTCAGACCAAGCTCCATTATTCAGTGAACCTCTACTCTAATAGGACAAAAAGGGAGTGGGGAAGCTCAGTTAATTAGAGGAGAGAGGAAGGAGCAACAAACACAGGTTGGTTTTCTGTTTTTCTTTTATTCTTTGATTATAATGTTACTTCCTTTTAATTTAATTTATTATTGGTATCATGCAGGCAAGAAGACTAAAAGGAATTTACTGGAATAATTATGCTTGCAAGTGAAATAAGGCATTCTTATCAATATAAAGGCAAGCTTGATTTATATAACCTATACAGTGAATACTGACATCCTCATTTCACTATCAATAAAAATAAGTTTCTGACAAGAAAAAAAAATACAGAAGAGCAGACATTTGGTGCAGCAGTTAAGACGCCACTTGGGAATATCTGCATCCCACAGAGTTCCTGGGTTTGAGTCCTAAGTCCAACTTCCTGCTTGGTATGCACCCTGGGAGAAGCAGTGATGTCTCAAGCAGTAGGGTCACTGGCATCTGTACAGGAGGCCCAGACTGAGTTTCCAGCTCCCAGTTGTTGAGGATATTTAGAGAGCAAACCAGTGGATGGGAGATCTCTGGTGTGTGTGTGTGTGTGTGTGCGCTCTATGTGTGTTGGTGTATGTGTGTTTATGTGTGTTATATGTGTGTGTCTACCTTTTGAATAAATAAAAAATAAGAATTTTTAAAATAAATTAATAAAGGAAATGCTATCCTGCAATAAAAAGTAACAAACTAATGATATACACAACTTGGATAAATCTCCAAATTATGCTGAGTGGAAAAAAACCTACATACCATATGAGCCTGTTTATATAACATTCTTGAAATGGCAAAATTATACATAGATAACAGATTAGTGGTTGCCAGGGGTCAGAGGTCAGGGGAGGGTGGTGAATGCGGCTTTAAAAGGGTAAAACCAGGTCATCTTTGGGGAGATGGAATAGTTCTGTATTTTATTGTACCAGTGTCAATATTCTGTGTATGGTATTGTACTACAGTTTATAAGATGTCACCATGCGGAGGGAAGGTGAGGAGAATGTGGTAAAGGATACATGGAATCACTCTCAATGATTTCTTACAACTGCAGATGAATGCAAAATCATCTCAAAATTTAAAAGTCTATTAAAAAACTACAAGGGTGAGGTTAGCATTGTGGTGCAGCAGGTTAAGCCACCACCTGCAAGACTAGCATCTCACATGAGCACCAGTTCTAGTCCCAGCTGCTCTACTTCTGATCCAGCTCCTTGATAATGCACCTGGGAAAGCAGCAGTAGATGGCCTGGGAGCTTGAGCCCCTCTCACTCACATGAGAAATCTGAATGGAGTTCCAGGTTCTTGGCATCAGCCTGGCCCAATCCCAGAAGATGCAGCCATTTGGAGAGTGAATCAGAGGATGGAAAATCTCTTTCTGGACGCATACTTCTGTATGCATGTGTGTATATGTGTGTGTGTATATGTGTGTAACTCCACCTTTCAAATAAACAAATTTTAAACAAACAAAAAAAAACTGTAAGGGCACTAAAAGCTTTTCTCCCTCTCAAAATGACTTTAATCATTTATTTTCTCATCTTAAAATCTAAGCTCTTTTGGGAACTATTACATATTTTGATAAAGATGTTATCTATTTTAAGTTTAATAATTTCTGAAACTCCAATTTCAAATTATTTTTTCTGATAAATTCACATATCATATGCTTTAGTTTAAAATACTAATATGGTGGCCGGCGCCGCGGCTCACTAGGCTAATCCTCCGCCTCGCGGCGCTGGCACACCGGGTTCTAGTCCCGGTCGGGGTGCCGGATTCTGTCCCAGTTGCCCCTCTTCCAGGCCAGCTCTCTGCTGTGGCAGGGCGTGCAGTGGAGGATGGCCCAAGCGCTTGGGCCCTGCACCCCAAGGGAGACCAGGAGAAGCACCTGGCTCCTGGCTTTGGATCAGCGCGGTGTGCCGGCCGCAGCGCGCCAGCCTTGGCAGCCATTGGAGGGTGAACCAACGGCAAAGGAAGACCTTTCTCTCTTTCTCTCTCTCTCACTGTCTACTCTGCCTGTCAAAAAAAAAAAAAAAAATACTAATATGGGGCCTGGCGCCGTGATGTAGCAGGTAAAGCCACAGCCTGCAGCTGGCATCCTATATGGGTGCCAGTTCAAGTCCTGGCTGCTCCATTCTGCTATGGCCTAGGAAAGCATTGGAAGATGGTCAAAGTCCTTGGGCCCCTGCACCCACGGGGGAGACCTGGAAGAATCTCCTGACTCCTAGCTTCAGATCAGGCCAGCTCCAGCCAGTGGACCATTTGGAAAGTGACACCAGCGAATCGAAGACCTCTCTCTCCACCTCTGCCTCTCTCTAACTCTCTTTCAAATAAACAAATAAACCTTTAATAAATAATAAAATAAAATACTAGGGCCGGCGCTGCAGCTCAATAGGCTAATCCTCTGCCTGCGGCGCCAGCACACCAGGTTCTAGTCCCAGTTGGGGTGCTGGATTCTGTCCCAGTTGCCCCTCTTCCAGGCCAGCTCTCTGCTATGGCCCGGGAGTGCAGTGGAGGATGGCCCAAGTCCTTGGGCCCTGCACCCCATGGGAGACCAGGAGAAGCACCTGGCTCCTGGCTTCAGATCAGTGCGGTGCGCCGGCCGCAGCGCGCCGGCCGCTGCGGCCATTGGAGGATGAACCAACGGTAGAGGAAGACCTTTCTCTCTCTCTCTCTCTCTCTCTCACTCTCACTCTCCACTCTGCCTGTCAAAAAAAATAATGAAAAATAAATAAATAAAATAAAATACTAACATGTCTTTTTCAAAGGTACTCTTTATCTCTCTTAATGTGTATGTGTGTGTTTATGTTTGTGTGCCTCTGCTTTGACTTTTCATAGAAGAGCCATCTGAACGGATATATACTCAAAACTGACAACAGTTTTTCTAATACGTGGGCTCTGGGATTTTGTTAACATTTTCCTTTACATTTCTAAGTATTACTTACATCATTGTAATGTTTGTGAAAGTGTAATTTATCATTATGATTTATATAAATATGAATGATTAGCATTCATCTTTAATTAGATATTAGTCTGTAGATTACAGTTAAACTTCGGCTTTATGTCTTCATGGATATTTATAAACTGACTATATTTAAGAGTACAAAGAAAATGCCCTAAAAATTCTCAAAAAGTGACAATGGTATAGACGATGTAATAAAAATAAATGTAAATTACAAACTAGAATCTAAAGACCCATGAATATGCAAACAAGATAAAAATCTTCTGGATACAAAGAAGAAACAGCCCAAAATTACACAATATAGAAATAATAAAAATAATGTAAGCCAAGGCAAACTCACAGCATGAAATATACAGTATTAAAAAGTATTAAAAGGAAAAACTAAATGTATATTGATCTTTATGGAGATTTCAATATATGCCAAAGAAGATATTTAAAAGATATTTAATTAAATTTTGTATTCTTTCACGACCAAAATATTTAATGGATTACACAGGTATGATAAAAAGTATATCTTTCAAACCTAAAAATCATTATATATAATATAATTTCAGAAAAATTCCCACTGAAGTAAGAAATAAGACTAGCATATCTACCTTAACCAATACTATTTAACATTGTTCTGGAAATAAAGTCAATGTACTCTTTGAGATGCAATGACGTTTTTATTTATTTATTTTTTTTTTGACAGGCAGAGTGGAGAGTAAGAGAGACAAAGAGAAAGGTCTTCCTTTGCCATTGGTTCACCCCCCAATGGCCACTGCAGCTGGCGCACTGCGGCCGGTGCACCGCGCTGACCCAAAGCCAAGAGCCAGGTGCCTCTCCTGGTCTCCTATGCCGGCGCAGGGCCCAAGGACTTGGGCCATCCTCCACTGCACTCCCTGGCCACAGCAGAGAGCTGGACTGGAAGAGGAGCAACCAGGACAGAATCCAGCGCCCCGACCAGGACCAGAGAGATGCAGTGACTTTTAACAGCCCTGGTCTCGACTGTTAGGAACAGGTTTTGTTCTTTTTCATACCATTTGTTGAACTCTTTACTTAGTATAGAGTTAATTATATGTGTTTAAAGTTAATTGAAAATAGATCTTAAGCCGGAGCCATGGTTCACTAAGCTAATCCTCTGCCTTGCGGCGCCGGCACACCGGGTTCTAGTCCCGGTCGGGGCGCCGGATTCTGTCCCAGTTGCCCCTCTTCCAGGCCAGCTCTCTGCTGTGGCCAGGGAGTGCAGTGGAGGATGGTCCAAGTGCTTGGGCCCTGCACCCCATGGGAGACCAGGAGAAGCACCTGGCTCCTGCCATCGGATCAGCACGGTGCGCCGGCCGCAGCGCGCCGGCCGCGGCGGCCATTGGAGGGTGAACCAACGGCAAAGGAAGACCTTTCTGTCTCTGTCTCTGTCTCTCACTGTCCACTCTGCCTGTCAAAAAAAAAAAAGAAAGAAAGAAAGAAAAGAAAATAGATCTTAGTAAAATATAAGAATGGGAATAGGAGAGGGAGGAGAAAGAAGGGTGAAAGGGCGGGTAGGTGGGAAGAATTACTGTGTTCCTAAAGCTGTATTTATGAAATGCATGAAGTTTGTATACATTAAATAAATGGTTTCTGGGGGGAAAAAAGTCAATGCAATGTAAAAAGAGAAGGAAATAAGATGTATAAATATTAGAAAAAATGGTAAAGGTATAATTACTAGGAAATTATTAGGAAAGCCTAAGAGAAGTCCAATCTGAATATACAAAGTTGGAAAGCAAATGGAAAAATAGTAAACTCTTGAGGTATGGCCTATTCTTACTCTTTTTGTACTTTTCTACATTCTTTATAATATGTAAATAGAATTTTTCATAATGCGTAATTAAGTTTATGTATATGGTATGATCCCTATATCAATGAGCTTAGGCTAAATAATGCTGTAATAATAAATAACCCCAAATCCTAGGGCTCACAACAAAAGTATACTTCATATCCATATTATTTATCAATTACAGGCTGATTTCTGCCTTATTCTTTACCATCTTCAGTAATCTAGGATGAAGGAGTATGTTAGCCTCAAGTTCAAAGAGAAAAGACAGGCTTGAAGAATCAATGATGGCTCATAATAAAGTTTACTCTTGAAGTGCCACCTTTGCTCACATTCCATTCAGTAAAACAGATCATTTGGCCAAATCTGAAGTCCGTAAAATAGAAATATGCAACCCTCCCTTTGGGAAGGACCCCAAGGAAAAGGCAGCAAATATTTCAAATAATCTACCACAAATTCAAATTTGTATGTATGAACATACAAGCATATTTGTGAGTGTGCATGTGTATACATATACAAATATACAAGGAATAGCTAATGGGAACTGTGATCTTGAATAAATAACCTAAGCTATATAAAAATGAAGAAAATATATAACATATGGTTTATAACACTATTAAATAGGGTGCTCAGCAAAATTTCTGTCATATAGGCAAAAAAAAGGTACAGTGATTTTAACGTGTGAATCAATTCACTTTGTAAACTGAAAAACACTATATAATAATGTAATTTTTTTCTAAAACATATTGAATAGCTTAAAATATCTAAATGAATAAGCATTTTAATATATGGGATATTATTTCTCAAACATTCAGTATACTGAAGGCATTCCTATTCTTAAAAGTGCACTTATGTGTTTAGCATTTAAATAAGGAAATGTTAAATACTTCCAAAGATAAATAGGGAAAAACTATATTTTCTCATCTTAGATACCAAAATTTGTCAAACAATTTTCTAATATATTTATAAAAGTTAAAACTAAATAATAATTTTATCTATAATGCTACAAAACCTACTTTTTCTTCTCTTTCTATTTCAAGTTGCTTCTTAAAGGTTGTAAGTTCATTTTTGAGATTGGATAGCTCAACCTCCTGAAGAAAAAAAGTTAGGTTTATAATACTCCCACATACTCATATTTCTCAAGACAACAAAAATGTAAACTAGTGCTTCAAGTAAATTCAGTTTCACAAATTCACTCAAAAAATAAACAAGAGAGCTTCAAAAAGTTCATGGAAAGTGGAATTTAAAGCTTATTTTCATGCAAGAAATTTAAATCCATGCACTTGACAGTACCTTTAAAACTTTTGTGGAAATGCACATTATGAAAAAGCTATGCATGAATTTCTAAAAAAAAAATATTGTATCAAAATAAACCTTTGGCCGGCGCCGTGGCTCAATAGGCTAATCCTCTGCCTTGCGGTGCCGGCACACCGGGTTCTAGTACCGGTCGGGGCGCCAGATTCAGTCCTGGTTGCCCCTCTTCCAGGCCAGCTCTCTGCTATGGCCAGGGAGTGCAGTGGAGGATGACCCAAGTCCTTGGGCCCTGCACCCCATGGGAGACTAGGAGAAGCACCTGGCTCCTGGCTTCAGATCAGCGCGATGCGCCGGCCGCAGCACACCGGCCACGGCGGCCATTGGAGGGTGAACCAACGGCAAAGGAAGACCTTTCTCTCTGTCTCTCTCTCTCTCACTGTCCACTCTGCCTGTCAAAATAAATAAATAAATAAACAAACAAACCTCTTTTAATTCTACTTTCCCATGAACTTTTTGAAACACCTTGTATATACTTTTGATTTTTAAAGATTTTGTTTATTTATTTGAGAGACAGAGTTACAGACCTTGAGAGGGAGAGACAGAGAGAGAAAGATCTTCCATCTGCTGGTTCACTCATCAAATGGCTACAATGGCTGGGTTTGGACCAGACCAAAGCCAGGAGCTTCTTCTGTGTCTCCCTCATGTATAAAGGGGTGCAATGCCCTGGGCCAATTTCCACTGCTTTCCCAGGTGCATAAGCAAGCAGCTGGATTGGAAAGGGAGCACTGGGAACTCAAACTGGCACCCATATGCAATGCCAACATTACAGGTGGAAGCTTAATCAATCCGTTAAGCCACAGTGCCAGTCCCTGCATATACTTTTTTTTTTTTTTTTGACAGGCAGAGTGGACAGTGAGAGAGAGAGAGAGAGAGAGAGAAAGGTCTTCCTTTGCCGTTGGTTCATCCTCCAATGAACCAGCGCGCCGCGCTGATCCGAAGCCAGGAGCCAGGTGCTTCTCCTGGTCTCCCATGGGGTGCAGGGCCCAAGGACTTGGACCATCCTCCACTGCACTCCCTGGCCACAGCAGAGAGCTGGACTGGAAGAGGAGAACCAGGACAGAATCCGGCGCCCCGACCGGTACTAGAAACTGGTGTGCCAGCACCGCAGGTGGAGGATTAGCCTAGTGAGCCACAGTGCCGGCCCCCTGCATATGCTTTTAAAGCCTATTGATATGAGGGCTCCTAGATTTCACTTAAATTTTTTACAGTTTTCTCTAAAACTCATCCTGTCTGTCCTTATCCTCTTCCAATCTATTCCACCCTCCTCTTCCAATCTCAATCAGAGCTCCAAATTTATTTAACTAGAGTTTATAAGACATCATTTGGGTAAAAAAAGTTTATAACAACATTTCAAAAAATAAATTGGTGGAGCCAGTGACATGGTAACGCAGGATAAGCTGTTGCCTGAAACACAGTATTCTATATCAGAGCACCAGCGTGTGTCCCTGCTGTTCTGCTTCCAATCTAGTTCACTGCTAATACAACTGGAAAGGCAGCAGAAGATGGCCCAAGTACTTGGACCCTTGCCACCCATGTAGGAGACCTGGATGGAGTTTCTGGGCTCCTGGCTTTGGCCTGGACCACCACTGACTGCCTACCAGCAAATGGAAGATTTCTTTCTCTGTATCTGACTATCACTCTGCCTTTCAAATAAATAAATCTTTTAAAATTAATTAATTAACTAATTAAAATAAATTGGGGAGTGGGAATTTGGCACAAAAATTAAGTCACTGCCTGGGATGCCCACATCCCATATGGACTGCCTAATTCAGGTCCAGGTTACTTCACTTCCAATCCAACTTCTTGCTCATGTGCACCCTAGTAGGCAGCAGGTGATGGCTCAAGTACTTGGGTCCCTGTCACACATGGAAGAAACCCGGATTGAGTTCCAGCCTCCTGGCAACCAGAGTGGCCCAGCCAGGTGCAGGTATCTGGACGATGAACCAACAGACAGGAGGTCTGTCAGTCTATCTCTTTACCCTTCAAATTAAAAAATTGTAAAATCATTTAACTATAAGATTCCTTTCAGATTTAACACTGATTCTACAAATCAAAAATTACAGTATTGAGGCAGGTGTTGTTGCAGAGCAGTTAAAGCCATTGCTTGCAGCATGGGTATCCCATTTGTGTGTGGGATCAAGCCCCAGCTGCTCCACCTCTGGTCCAGCTCCCTGCTAATGAACCTGGGAAAGCAGCAGAAAATGGTCCAAGTACTTGGCCCTCAGCTACCTACATGGGAGATCCAGAAGAAACTCCAGGCTCCTGGATTCAGTCTGGCTCAGCCTTGACAGTTGCAACCATTTGGGGAGTGAACTGGAAGATGGAAGACTTCCATCTGCCTCTGCCTCTCTTTCTGTGTAACTTGTGTTTAAAATAAATAAATAAATCTTTAAAAAAGGGAAGAAAGTTTTTTTTTTTTTTTTTTTTTGATAGGCAGAGTGGACAGTGAGAGAGAGAGACAGAGAGAAAGGTCTTCCTTTGCCGTTGGTTCACCCTCCAATGGCCGCCGCGGCCGGCGCGCTGCGGCCGGCGCACCGCACTGATCCGAAGCCAGGAGCCAGGAGCCAGGTGCTTTTCCTGGTCTCCCTTGGGGTGCAGGGCCCAAGCACCTGGGCCATCCTCCACTGCACTCCCTGGCCACAGCAGAGGGCTGGCCTGGAAGAGGGGCAACTGGGACAGAATCCGGCGCCCCGACCGGGACTAGAACCCGGTGTGCCGGTGCCGCTAGGCGGAGGATTAGCCTAGTGAGCCGCGGCGCCGGCCCAGGAAGAAAGTTCTAACAGACACTACAATATGCTTAAGGAAAATATGTGAGATAAACTAGTTGCAAAAAGAAATATGGTATAGGTATCTAGAATCATTTTATTTTTTAAAAAAATTAACAATTTTACTTAATATTATTCTTTATCAACTATGTTGACACTGTGAAAATTGGTTTTTATTGGGATTTGTTCTGTATCTCACCAAAGATGCTTTCACTGATGAATGCTCTTGTTCTTTGGCTTTTAAATGTCCTATTTCTGAGTCTCTTTCTTCAACCATCTTATCATATTGGTGCTATATTGAACAAAGAAAAATATTTTAAATATATTAAAACTGAATAGCTTATGTTTGACTAAGATTGGTATCCAAACATTTAATATTTGCAAAAATGCTGTTTAAAAATTCAGTAATATGTATGCTGGAGTACATGTATTTTTTAATTTTTCAATTTCAACAACTTAAAAAAAGGAAACGCAGTCTTAGAAATAACCCAACAGCAAGAAATAACTCTGCTTAATTGGAAACAGTGAATTTCATCTTTAAAAAAAATATATTACATTATAAGGGCTGGTGTTGTGGCACAGTGGGTTAAGCTGCTGCTTTCAACACTGGAATCCCATATTGGAGCATTGCTTCAAGTCCTGGCTGCTCTGCTTCTGATCCAGCTCCCTATTAATGTACCTGGTATGGTAACAGAAGATGACCCAAGTGCTTGGGCCCCTGCAATCCATGTGGGAGACCCAGATCAAATTCTGGGCTCCTGGCTTCAGCCTGTTCCAGTTCCAGCCATTGCACCCATTTAGGAAGAGAACCAGTAAATGTAAAGATCTTTTTCTAGCTCTCCCTTTCTCTGTCACTCTGCATTTCAACTAACTAATTAAATAAATAAATAAGTCTTTTTTTTTTTTTTTTTTTTTAAGAAAAAGATACTATAAATACTAGGACTTCTCAGAGAGTGGCTAATTCCAAATCTCAGATAGGACATTCGAGACGAGCCTTAAACATTCTGTCATAATGAAAAGGCTATCAGAAACAGAGTTTGAAGAGACCAGTTTGAAGAAGCTCTCCCTGACCAAAAGTGGCACAACTTGATAAAAGGATTTGATATAAAGTATAAAAATTACACTGAATTAAAACACACCAAATTTAAGTCTATGAATTCACAATGTTAATCAAATTACTTCTTAATCTTCGTTGTTTACCTAACAATAATGCTATATTCCAGCAACAATTTTTTTTATTTTTATTTTATTTAATTCCAGCAACAATTTTAAAAAGGAATCTTCTCCAAATCTGGAAGGCAATGAGACTGTTTTTTTCCTAACAGAATTACTCTAAAACAACAAAAGATAGGATACTCACAAACCCAACAAACATTAAGCCTTTCATCTATCTATTCCTTTGATTTAAAAAAAAAAAAAAACTGTTTAGGCTAGTATGTGTTAGGTATCTGTAGAGGACACAAATTAATGAGATACATATCCTGGGTACATACTTGAATAAATATAAGGTGGAAATGCTATGAAAGATTACTAGATGGGCTGGCACTGTGGCATAGTAGGCTAAGCCTCTGCCTGTGCCACTGGCATCTCATATAGGCACCAGTTCATGTCCTGGCTGGTCCTCTTCCAATCCTGCTCTCTGCTAACGGCCTAGAAAGGCAGTAGAAGATGGCCCAAGTTCTAGGATTCCAGCACCCTCTTGGGAGACCTGGAAGAAGCTCCTGGCTCATGGCTTCTGATTGGCTCAGCTCAGCCATTGTGGCCATCTAGGGAGTGAACCAGCAGATGGAAGACCTTACTCTCTGTCTCTCCCTCTCTCTCTCTCTCTGTAACTACCTCTCAAATAAATAAATCTTAAAAAACAAAGAAAAAAGAAAGACTACTAGAACAATTCAGAAAGAGTGATTACTTCTACCTATCATAGATGATTGTAGAAATTTCCTCCAGGAAATGACATCCAAGCTCACCTTTATACAGTTAAGTTCTGAACTTAAGAAAAATGGGGCATCGCCTTTTCACCAAGATGGCGCCGAAGGCGAAGAAGGAAGCTCCTGCCCCTCCTAAAGTCGAAGCCAAAGCGAAGGCCTTGAAGGCCAAGAAGGCAGTGCTGAAAGGCGTCCACAGCCACAAGAAGAAGATCCGCACGTCCCCCACCTTCCGGCGGCCCAAGACACTACGCCTCCGACGGCAGCCCAAATACCTTCGGAAGAGCGCCCCCAGGAGAAACAAGCTTGACCACTATGCCATCATCAAGTTCCCCCTGACCACGGAGTCGGCCATGAAGAAGACAGAAGACAACAACACACTGGTGTTCATTGTGGATGTCAAGGCCAACAAGCACCAGATCAAACAAGCTGTGAAGAAACTCTATGATATTGATGTGGCCAAAGTCAACACCCTAATCAGACCTGACGGAGAGAAGAAGGCGTATGTGTGGCTGGCTCCTGACTATGATGCTCTGGACGTTGCCAACAAAATTGGGATCATCTGAACGGAGTCCAGCTGGCTAATTCTAAATATATGTTTTTTCACCATATAAAAAAAAAAAATGGGACATCAAGAATATCCCAGCTATAATTAGTCAAAAATGCATAGCCAATAATTTTCTGTAAAATTAGAAAACTATCTTGAGTTCAACATTTTTAACAAAAATATAACTCAAATTAATAATTTTCATTATTTAAAAAGAAAAAAATTACCTTGTGTTTTTCCATAAGTGCCACCATTTCAGCTATTTTATGTTGACATCGTAAATCAATTTCTCTCTGTAATTTTACTGCTTCATCAGCTATTACTTTTGCTTTCTCAACCTATCAATTAAACAAAAAGTGTTTGTTAAAATGAATGCCCAAGAAAATTTAACTTCTAAAAAGCATATGCTCTACTTACAGAAAATGCAAATGTCAAACACCAAAAAATTGGAAAAACCAAGGAAAAAATACATTACTGTTTTGATTTATTTTAGGGTGTTCCGTCAAGCGAGATGACACTAAAAAACTGTGATAATAAATTTTTTTAAATTATTCATATAAAGAGAACAGATTTCATGTATTTCATGTATACAATTTTAAGCCCATAATGATAATTTCCACCCTCCCTCTCTGTTTCTTCCTTTTCTTTTCCTCTTTTAATTTTTATAATGATATACTTTCAATTTATAGTCACAGGCTTAATCCTCCACTAAATAAAGAATTCAACAAGTAGAAAGCAGAAAGACCACTGTTCTACAGGAGTATAGACAAGTGCTATAAATAATAATCAAATCTCAAGATGTGAATTACATTCAAAATAATTATATGCTACTTAATATTCAAATACTTAGAATATAAAAGATGCTTTTAGCTTCTACAGAAACTGACAGCTGTACCTAATATAAACTTAATAACCATAAATGTACATTTAATTTTAATATATAATGATATATATTTGATATATTAAATTAAAATTTCAATTTTAGTTTTCTCTTAAAATTCAAATAAACAAATATAGAATTTTAAAATAATCAAATCTAAACATTTAGTTTTTCTCACCTCTCCTAAAAGATTTTCTTCTGATACCTTTTTTTCCTCAATTTCTTTTTGATAACTGTCAGTCATTTCTTCAAACTTTTGTTTGCAACTTTCTAGTTCTAATTCTAATTTACTGACCTTTAATAAAGCAAAGAAAATACCATGGATGTTAGTGAATACTGTAGATTACTTGAAAACATTCCATATTCATTTTGTGATTCTGTGAATCTTGGAAGACTATTCATTCATAAAAATTATAATTGTACAAATTTATGTTTTCCATACGGTGAGATGTGCTGCTTTTGACAAAATCTATCTTCTATGATATATATTTAGTCTTGACAAGTAAAATAAAATAAGCAACCATATATTTATTTTTCACTAATTTCTTTTTTTTTTAAGGAGGCAGGAGAGACCTCAAATAGCTAAAGCAATCTTTTATAACAAAAACAGAGCCAGAGGCATCACAATACCAGATTTCAAGTCATACCACCAGGCAGTTATATTAAAAACAGCATGGTGCTGGTACAGAAACAAATGGATAGACCAATGGAACAGAATAGACACACCAGAAATCAATACAAACATCTACAACCAACTTATATTTGATCAAGGAGCTAAAACCCATTCCTGGAGCAAGGACAGTCTATTCAACAAATGGTGCTCAGAAAACTGGATTTCCACATGCAGAAGTATGAAGCAAGACCCCTACCTTATACCTTATACAAAAATCCATTCAACATGGATTAAAGATCTAAATCTATTACCCGATACCATCAAATTATTAGAGAACATTGGAGAAACCCTGCAAGATATAGGCACAGGCAAAGACTTCTTGGAAAAGACCCCAGAGGCACAGACAGTCAAAGCCAGAATTAATAATTGGGATTGCATCAAATTGAGAAGTGTCTGTACTGCAAAAGAAACAGTCAGGAAAGTGAAGAGGCAACCAACAGAATGGGAAAAAAATATTTGCAAATTATGCAACTGATAAAGGATTAATAACCAAAATCTACAAAGGGATCAAGAAACTCCACAACAACAAAACAAACCAGCCACTTAAGAGATGGGCCAAGGACCTAAATAGACATTTTTCAAAGGAGGAAATACAAACAGCCAACAGACACATGAAAAAATGTTCAGGATCAGTAGCCATTAGGGAAATGCAAATCAAAACCACAATGAGGTTTCACCTCACCCCAGTTAGAATGGCTTACATACAGAAATCAACTAACAACAGATGCTGGCGAGGATGTAGGGGGAAAAGCACCCTAATCTATTGTTGGTGGGAATGCAAACTGGTAAAGTCACTATGGAAGACAGTTGGGAGATTCCTCAGAAACCTGAATATAGCCCTACCACACGACCTAGCCAACCCACTCTTCGGAATTTACCCAAAGGAAATTAAATTGGCAAATAAAAGAGCTGTCTGCACCTCAATGTTCATTGGAGCTCAATTCACAATAGCTAAGACACAGAATCAACCTAAATGCCCATCAACAGAAGACTAGATAAAGAAATTATGGGATATGTACTCTATAGAATACTACACACTGGTAAAAAAAAAAATGAAATCTGGTCATTTGCAACAAAATGGAGGAATTTGGAAAACATCATGCTGAGTGAAATAAGCCAGTCCCAAAGGGACAAATATCATATGTTCTCCCTGATTGGTGACAACTAACTGAGCACCTAAAAGGAAACTTGTAGTAGTGAAACTGACACTATGAGAAACAACTTGATCAGCCCTTGTCCTGACTGTTGAGGAACAGCTACTATTTTATTCTTTTCAGTATTTTCTTTTTCTACTTAATACCATTGGTTGAACTCTTTAATTAACACACAATTATTCTTAGGTGTTTAAATTTAACTGAAAAGTGATCCCTGTTAAAAAATAAGAGTGGAAATAAGAGAGGAGGAGATGTACAGTTTGGCACATGGCTCCCTCAGACTTACCCCTGATGGTAGAGCTAGAAACGTGCCAGGGGATTCCAAACCAATCCCATCAAGATGTACCAATGCCAATTTACTAGTCAAAGTGATCAGTTTAAGTTCATAACTGATCATAAAGATAGGATTAAGTGTCAAAGGGATCACATAAACAAGACAAGTGTCTGCTAATAATAATTGATAGAATTAAAAAGGAGAAAACGATCAAACATGGGAATCAGGATACACAGCAAACTCATAGAATGGCAAATGCCCTAAACAACACTCTGGCCTCAGAATCAGCCCTTAAGGCATTTGGATCTGGCTAAACAGCCCATGAGAGTTTCTCAAGCATGGAAAGCCAAGACACTATGGCAAAAAATAACCTAAATGAAAGATCTCTGTGAGTCAGATCCCAGCAGAAAGAACATCAAAGAAAGAGGTAACTTTCTCTGAAGGGAGGAGGGAACTTCCACTTCGATTATGGCCTTGTCTAAATAATGCTGGAGTTTGTGAACTCAAGGCTTCCATAGCTTTAGCAGCTCATGACAAGAGCCTCAGGTGATTGCTGACGTCATAAATAACAGTGTCAATTGTTAAATCGACAACAGGAGTCACTGTGCACTTACTCCCCATGTAGGATCTCTGTCCTTAATGTGTTGTATGATGCGAATTAATGGTAAAACTAGTTTTCAAACTGTACTTTATAAGGCCGGCGCCGTGGCTCACTAGGCTAATCTTTCGCCTGCAGTGCTGGCACACCGGGTTCTAGTCCCGGTCGGGGCGCCGGATTCTGTCCCGGTTGCCCCTCTTCCAGGCCAGCACTCTGCTGTGGCCCGGGAGTGCAGTGGAGGATGGCCCAAGTGCTTGAGTCCTGCACCCCATGGGAGACCAGGAGAAGCACCTGGCTCCTGGCTTCGGATCAGCGCGGTGTGCCGGCCGTGGCGGCCATTGGAGGGTGAACCAACGGCAAAGGAAGACCTTTCTGTCTCTGTCTCTGTCTCTCACTGTCCACTCTGCCTGTCAAAAAACAAACAAACAAACAAAAACCTGTACTTTATACTTTGTGTGTCTGTGCAGGTACAAACTGTTGAAATCTTTACTTACTATATACTAAGTTGATCTTCTGTAAATAAAGATAGTTAAAAATGAATCTTAAGGAAGAATGGGATGGTAGAGGGAGTAGGAGATGGGATGGTTTGCAGTGGGAGGATGGTTATGGAGAAAAACCACTATAATTCAAAAGTTCTATTTTCAAAATTTATACATATTAAATAAGAGTTTAAAAAAGATTTGAAAGTCAGAGTTACAGAGAGAGAAGAGGCAGAGAGAGAGAGAGAATTTTATATCCACTGGTTCACTCCCCAATTGGCCACAACAGAGCTGTGCCGATCCAAAGTTAGGAGCGAGGAGCTTCTTCTGGGTTTCCCACAAGGATTTGGACCATCCTCTACTGCTTTCCCAGGCCACAGTAAAGAGCTGGATCAGAAGTGGAACAGCCGAGACTGGAACCAGCGCCCATATGGGATGCCGGCACTGGAGGTGGTGGCTTTATCCGCTATGCCACAGCAGCAGCCCCTTTAACTAATTTCTCAACAGTATTTACGTTGGTTAGTCTTATTACATTGGTTAGGTTTATTACAGTAAGTAATCATCTGGTTGAACAGAAAATCCATTCAATACCAAAAAAGCATAGGGATATATCAATGTTTTTGTTTATCTTGATTAGGAAATCTTTATTTACATTATGCTCTATCTTCTGTTTTCAAGTCCTTCTTTTCACATTTATGTCCTTAAGGAATTCACTTGTGTTTAATGTAGTTGCACAATTTCCTTTCTTTTCATATGGATATTTAAATGTCTCAGCACTACATCAACTTCAATAGCACCCCTGAATATATTATTTGCATTTATGCAAGAATCTTATTCTAGATTATCTCTTCTGTTCAACTGATTTGAGTCTATGTGCTAATGTCACATTGTCTTAGTTGTACAAATAATCTTTATAACTAGTAGGACATATTTCCCCACCTTGCTGTTAAAGATTATTTTTTGCCCTGTGCTCTTACATATAAATTTTAGAATCAGCTTGTCAGGTCCTATAAAAAGTGCTGATGAAATTTTAATTGAATACATAGATCAATTTGGAAGAAAACTAGTATTTTCATTTTCACATAAATGGTGTATGCTGTATAAAAATCACATTTTCAGAGAGCTTACTAGAGATGTTTAAGACTAGTAATGATTTTTGTATGACTATTTAACAACCTTACTAAACACATCTAGTAACTTTTAATTCATGTATAGATTCTTACAGATTGTCTACATAAAAAACTCCTTTCTAGAATTATCTGAGTCTGAAGTTTGCTTAGTCATCAGATTTTAAATCACTGATTCAATTTCATTACCAGGATTTTATAATTATTTCTTATTGAGATTGGAATGGTTAATCTACTCATAATGTATTTTAACTTTTCTCAACTATATTGCTGTAATGATGTTCATAGTAAAGATATTAACTTTAGACTGATAAAATATATGCTAAAATTTCTAGACAATATAATTGTGTTAGAAAATATACTCTATGTGATTTCAATCTCTTAAATTTTACGACCATATACATGATCATTTTGTTAAATAGTCTGAGTGTTTTTGAAAAGTATGTTTTCCTCACTTTTTGACCTAAAAAACTTATTTTTCCAATATTCTTAAAAGATAAGTACACTGAGGAGTACTATCAAGGTTCATAGTTAAATTCTCAGTACTTGAGAATATTTTCTGGGGCCAGCACTGTGGCATAGGGGTTAAGCCTCTCTTTGCAGTCCTATATGGATGCCAGTTCAAGTTCCGGCTGCTCCACTTCATATCCAGCTCCCTGGTAATGCACCTAGGAAAGCAGCAGCAGATGGCCAAAGTCCTTGGGTCCCTACACGCACATGGAAGACCCAGAAGAAGCTCCTGGCTCCTGGCTTCGGATTGGCGCAGCTCCAGCCATTGCAGCCAATTGGGGAGTGAACCAGCGGATGGAAGACCTCTCTCTCTCTACCTCTTCTCTCTCTGTGTCTGACTTTCAAGTAAATAAATAAATCTTTAAACACACACACACACACACACACACACACACACACACAGTGTATCCCATTCAATTCAGAAACTAAGAGATACAGGAAAATTTTGAACCAAACAATAATAACTCACTCTCTATCGGGGCCGGCGCTGTGGTACAGTGTGTTAAAGCCCTGGCCTGAAGCGCCAGCATTCCATATGGGCACCAGGTTCTAGTCCCGGCTGCTCCTCTTCCAATCCAGCTCTCTGCTATGGCCTGGGAAAGCAGTAGAAGATGGCCCAAGTCCTTGGACCCCTGCACCCACATGGGAGACCTGGAAGAAGCTCCTGGCTCCTGGCTTCTGATCGGTGCAGTTCTGGCCATTGCAGCCATCTGGGGAATGAACCAGCGTATGGAAGACCTCTCTCTCTCTCTGTCTCTACCTCTCTCTGTAACTGTCTTTCAAATAAATAAAATAAATCTTTAAAAAAAATAACTCACTCTATCAAAACCTAAAGGATATAGTTACAGCAATGCTTATAGGGATATTTATAAGTTTAAAATGGGTACCTTAGACTGAACATTACTGATTAAAGAATCTATCTCAAGATAGACAAAAACATAAAGAAAAATAATAGTAGAAGGAAATAATAGAGAGCAGAAGTTAATGAAATAAAAACAAATACCCAACAGAGAAGATAAAAAAATTTTTTCAAAATTGACAAATTCCTGGTAACACTGATCAAGAAAAAAACAAGGGACCAGTGCTGTGGAACAGAAGGTTAAGCCCCAGCCTGCAATATCGGCATCCCACTTGGGCACTGGTTCAAGTTCTGGCTGTACCACCTTTGATCCAGCTCCCTGCTAATGGCCTGGGAAAACAGTGGAAAATAGTCCAAATACTTGGGCCCCTGCACCCACATGGTGGACCTGGATAAAGCTCATGGCTCCTGGCTTCTGCCAGCCCAGCCCTGGCCACTGCAGCCAACTGGGGAGTGAACCAGCAGATGGAAGATCTCACTCTCCCTCTCTCTCTCTAAATCTCTGCCTTTCAAAAAAAATAAGTAAATCTTATTTTAAAAAAAAAATACACACACTAGAGAAGGTGTGAATAATCAATATCAGGATTGAAAACAGGACATTACTATTTATACTGGAAACTATTTTGAAACTTAGAAAATGAAACTCAGAATAACACTTAACAAAACTGAAGAAATGAGAAAACTAAATAATACCACAACTAACTGACAACTTTAATTTGTTTTCTATAAACTAATTTGTTTTCTAATGGTTCTCAAATACCTTGTGCTGTAGGAAAATCACATTTGGAGCTTTTAAAAAATGTAGATTACAAGGATCTACCACAAACTTACTCAAGCTCACTTTTCAATGTATGGGTAAATAATATGAACATGAACAAGTAACACATATAGCATACACATAACGTACACACATATATTTTTAAGCAGCTCAGATGATTCTAACCTAGCTACAACACAGGGAAGCACTCCAGTACAATAATAAGACTGATCTCCTCAATCAGAAAGATAATTCTTTTTTTTTTTTTTTTTTTTTTGACAGGCAGAGTGGACAGTAAGAGAGAGAGACAGAGAGAAAGGTCTTCCTTTACCATTGGTTCACCCTCCAATGGCCGCTGATCCGAAGCCAGGAGCCAGGTGCTTCTCCTGGTCTCCCATGCAGGTGCAGGGCCCAAGGATCTGGGCCATCCTCCACTGCACTCCCGGGCCACAGCAGAGAGCTGGACTGGAAGAGGGGCAACCGGGACAGAATCCGGCGCCCCAACCGGGACTAGAACCAGGAGTACTGGCGCCGCAGGCGGAGGATTAGCCTATTGAGCTGAGGTGCTAGCCCAGAAAGATAATTCTTAAAAGTGCTATAGTATAAATGATATAAAATTTCTTAATTCTCATCTATTTACTAGCAATTAAAAACAAAAATAAAGGTGCTAAATACCTTTATTTCATAAACATTCAATTGCTTGCCTTCTGCTGTACTTTTCTTTTTCCACATTTTATTCTGTTAAATGTCAAAAATAAATAATTATATTCAGTAATAAAGCAATTCAAATTTATATTGCCTCTAACTTAGACTTAAATTATTAAAGAGAAGCATATTCTATAAAACTATAATGAAAATCTTAGTTTTATTTTGAAAATATTTATGATACATACCTCCTGCTGAAGTTCTTCAATATACTTGCTTTTGTTTTCAACTTGTTTCCTTAAATTGTTACACTAGAAAATTATGAGAAATTATACTTATTTTCAGTATCTCATTTTGTATTTTTTGTGATCACTTTATGATACCACATCATCTGGGTCTGCATGCAGAACCAGATTAAGAGATATTAGCCCAAGAAATATTTAGTAAGTAACATAAAGGCAGAACAGATTCCTAAGGTGTCCTAAAATATCACAGATATGTACATTATTCTAATTTCTACCAGAGTAAATATAACACTCAATGGAAAAATGTTTAAATCTTTCTCATTAGCATAAAATACTGTTAAATATTTTTCTTATAACCCCATATACAGTCATAGTCAACCGATATTCTGAAACCAAATGGAGTGTGGCGCTGCTATTTACAAGTTATTTATTCATACAAATCTGTATATGGCCCACGCCCATAAATGGTCTCTTGAAAGTTCAAAAGGAAGAAAAGCTGTACAAAAGTGAGAGGGGCAGGCATTGTGGTGCAACAAATTAAGCTACCACCTAGGACACAGACATCCCTTATCAGTGTGCCTGGTTTGTTTTCCAGCTGCATTTCTAATCAGGCTTCCTGCTAATGAACCTGGAGGCAGTGGACAATGGCTCAAGTACCTGGGTTCCTGCTACCCACATGGGAGACCCAGATGAAGTTTTCTGACTTTTTGGCTTTGACCTGGGCTACCCTTCGCTGCTGCAGGATTTGGGAAGTGAACAGATGAAGATATCTCTCTCAGTATCTGTCTCTCCCTCTCTGTATCACTCTGCTTTTTGAATAAATGAATCTTTAAAAATATAATGAAAGGGCCGGCACTGTGGCTAAGCTAAGCTTCTGCCTATGGCGCCAGCATTCCATATGGGCACCGGTTCTAGTCCTAGCTGCTTTACTTCTAATCCAGCTCTCTGCTTTGGCCTGGGAAAGCAGTGGAAGATGGCCCAAGTCCTTGGGCCCCTGCACACACGTGGCAGACTCAGAAGCAGCTCCTGGTTCCTGGCTTTGGATCAGTGCACCTCCGGCTGTTGCAGCCATCAGGGGAGTCAATCAGCAGATGGAAGCCCTTTCTCTCTCTCTCTCTCTCTCTCTCTCTCTCTCTGCCTATATGTAACTCTGCCTTTCAAATAAATAAATAAATCTTAAAAAAAAAGAAAGAAATGAAATTTGAGATAGCAGAAAATAGTGTTGACTACTAGAGTTCAGAACTTCAGAAGGTTAACTATACTCTCGGGAGTACCGTCCACTATACAAAAGGTCAAGATTATGGCAATTGTGTAGTTAGGTTTAGAGAATGGAAAAGTGAATAGGGATGAGAATACTCAGATAATAAAAACACTTCACATAAAAAGAGCAGAAAGCTTTCTGTAGCTCTGTTGATTACAGATACCTAACAATGATTTCTAAAAACATCCTGCAACTCAAGTATATATATAATTATAGCTGCTTAGTGTATTTGGGGGAATGGAAGAGATTATTAAGGAGGAATTAAATGAACATCTGAATCACTATGTAAAACCTGTGAATCCAAAGTTTCTCAAGAAAAAAAATGCAATGAAAGTACTGTATTATTTCACAAAACCTCCACAGGAGAACTGAAATCTCTGTATACAGGACAGTGTAAAGGTAGGCCCTAAAGAATCCAATCATACAAGTAGTGTTAAAAAATCTCTATTCTCAAACATAACTTTTTGCAATTTGGTAATACCTTGTTTTCTAATATCTTCATCTGTTTATCTTTTTTTAAAACTTCACATTCAATGCTTCGAGCCTAAAAAATATAGCAGATTAAAAATGTTAATAGAATTTCTATTTTCTTCTGTAGGTATATCTTAGATATAGAATTATAAAACTTAGTCACAGTTCTACAAAAATAGTTATCAGCTCTCCCAATTTATTTTGGTATTTTTTTAAAAAAGGAAATTACTTTTGTATGTAAAGTGACAGACATGCTACCTAGCTGATTTGATCATTTCAGAAATTATAATACTCTTCCCTTAAAAGAGTTTTCAACTTGTTGAACTCATATTTACGAAAGCACAACACAAACTTATTCATCACCTCATCAGTATATTCCACATTAACAAAGTATGAGTCTTATTTACATAAAAGTATATAAACATTAAATATGGAGAATTCATGAAAAGAAATTCAGAATTATGTCACTGTTTCTTCGATATAAAATAATCTAAATTTTATATGTAAGCAAAATAATACAAATTTGCCTATATTTTTAGTGACAGTCCTTAGTTCACTGTTGATACAATAGTATACTTTTTAAAGACATGATGCTGCTTCTGTGCTTTAAAATTTTTCCATATAACCTATTAATAAATATAACATACAATTTCTTCACTCTTATCCAGTTTACATTTAACTTCATCTCCTTTCTGTTTTAGCTCCTCTCTCAGAGATTCCATTTCATTTCTGAAAGGAAATGAAAAGTGACATTACAATTAAAATTATATTTTCATTCTATTTCCTTTCTGATACTTCTAAAATGGTGGCATTTTTTGTTGATTTACTTTTTATTTTTATTTGCTAATTTTATAAGCATTACTATCAAAAGGCATATTTTCACCTTTATCTTTAATTTATACAATGTTTTAAAATAAATCTGGCTTCTTAATTTTTCTATTAAAAATTCTTAGAAACACTTATAAGAGTCTTCAGAAAACTCATGAAAATGCATATTATGAAAAACACTGAATGACTTTCAAATTTTCTTCACCAAAATAAACTTCTTTTATCCCATTTTTCTATGAATATTTTGAGGTACCCCATATTAAGTCAAGGTTTAATTTTAATGCTTTCTTAGTCAGAAACCAGTCATTATTTATTCTAAGGCATATTCATAATTTTGCAAAAGTAAATTATGAACAAAAATACAAGTGATTTTAATGAAAATCTACGTGACCGGAATATTTGCATACACGTATATCATCGTATATGCATAGAGTATCTCTAGAAGCATAAAACTTCCCTCTGGGTAGGGAAGTTAGACAGCAAAAAGTCAAAGGGTAAAAAAGATACTTCTGTTTCCCCATGAGCTCCTTTGTCCCTCTAAATTTTGTACCAAATGGATGTATTATCCTTTTGAAAATAATTTAATTGAAAACATGTCTGTTGCATGTGAAAATAATGTTGCTTTTTCTCAGGTGTTATGAAACTACTTTCCTAATTATATTCTCCCTGTTGTCACAGTATTCCCTATGAGGAAAAACTGGCCTTGTGAAAATCTAGGACATTTATTCTTTAACTGAGTATTAAATTTGTAATCAGTAGATTCTTATTATTCTTAAATATATTTGTATTAAGAGTTCTATAAATCCACAGAGTTGAAAGGTATGTAAATAAGATATAATCCAAATAATGTAAATTATCCTAAATAAAAAGGAGTCTCTCCCTAAAAGGTGTGTTCTCATTTTATCTCCACATTGTATAGTGGCTTAATCACAGAGATTCAATCTGTAAATAACAATAACTTTTGAAAAAGAAAATTGAGCAAAAGGGACAAAATGATTCACTAGAGGCAGAATAAAAGGTGAATTTCCAAGTCTGAAATATAGTAACAAACTAACAATTATTAAGTGCTAAGTGCCAGGTACTGTGCCCAGCACTTTATTCACATGACTTCATATAACCCTCAAACAATCAAATAAAAGAGGTGTATCAGGTCTAAAAAAGAGCTCACATTATTTAAAATAAGAAGTGGGTTTTTAAAGATTTATTTATTCGAAAGTCAGAAATACAGAGAGAGAAGGGAGGAGAGAGAAAGAGAGATAGAGACAGAGAGAAAGAGATTGATTTTCCATCCGCGGGTTCACTCCTCAATTGGCTACAAAGGCTATGGCTGGGCCAGGGCTGGGCCAAAACACAGCCAGGAGCCAGGAGCTTCTTTCAGATCTCCCACATAGGTACAGGGGCCCAAGTATTTGGGCCATCTTCCACTGCTTTCTCAGGCCATAGCAGAGAGCTGGATTGGAAGAGGAGCAGCCGGGACTCAAACCAATGCCAATATGTGATACTGGCACTGCAGGCAGAGGCTTAACCAGATTGTATGCCACAGCGGCAGCCCCCAAATAAGAAGTTTTAACAACCACTTTCTTTAAGTATAAGAAACCAAAACTGAACTATCAGGAAACTTAAAATATAAAAAGATTATTTTAAAAATAATAAAAATAGAAATTGCATAGAAACACTCTCATAAATTCAGAAGTAAACTGATGACTTAAAATATTTTTAATATTTAAAAAGAGAGAGACCAAATATCAATACATAAATTTTTAAAAGAACTAAAGAAAAGATTACCATTTGATTTTAAGCATGCCAAAATTTCTAAGTATAAAAGCAATTATAAAATCACACAAGGAAAGATAATTCCTTCAAAATTTTATATTTCCATATATCAAAAAATTCCCCAACACTGAAAAAAAACAACAAGTTAGGGGAAATAAATGCTGTTAATAATACATTTTTAAAGCATAAACAAATCAAAAAGGAAAAAAAGATTTCAAAAGATAAGTAGACAGCACATATTAAACAGACAATCCTTAAAATAAATCTAAAAAATATGAAAAATTCTACAGCTTATCCAAAATATAAAAATTTACAAACCACAAAAGCAATGGAAATATTTTTATCTTTTAAATTATCAAAAAACTATTGATAATAATCAAAATATCAATTAAAACATTTGGAACCAGTGTTGTAATGCAATATTTGTTGTATTGCATGGTTTACAATCATTTGATTACCAAGTCATTGAAATCACTACTGCTATGATCTAATATATTCTATTGCTTTAAGTTGTCTTATCAGATTCAATATAAGAAAAACATCTAGATATGCCAAGATGTTTACTATAGTATAATTTATAATAGTCTAAAACCAGGAAGTAAAAGTATGCAAAGTAAAAATGATTAAAATAAATAGTTTTGACAGCCACTGGATTGACTGGGATAAAAGCATTAATATATAAATTGTAAACAGATTTAGAAAAATGGATAATGCTTAAAATAATATTAAATGGAAGAGTCACAAAATTATGTGCCAGTGATTACAAGCAAGAGCCAACATATTCTTTAAAATATAGATGGGGTATAAGTTTTGCAACAGTATTATAGAAGTTTAAGTAACTAGAATTAAGTTTTTCTACATCTCTCTTTTAAATTTTCTGGAATATGATTAGTATACTTTCTTAAGTAAAGAAATTAAAGAAGTAGAAAGTTCATGATACTTTAACTTCTGTTTAACTGCACAGTATAAACATTAAGTATAAAATAGTTATTATAATTTTACTTTTAAGCAGAATTCTAAACCATTAAGTCTATTTTTTTTACTTTACATGATAGTCAACATGTTGACTTTAAATTAACTAAAACAAAATAATAGAAAAAAAGACGTAATCTTTTGACCAAATTAAAAAAAAAATTAGTCTTGCCTTAGTTGTGTTTCTGTTTCTTTCAGATTTTCTATTTGTTTCAACATCCTTTCTTCTTGTTTTTTGCTATTCTAAAGAAATAATGTTTATATTAATTATTTTGTTTCAGTAAAAATTAAGTGGAAACTAATATTTAAGACATTTTATCTGTCAGTACAAAAGAATTTAGTTCTAGTAAAGAAAAAATGTGCTGTTTAACTTGCACAGTTTCACATTACTTTTCCAGCCTTACTTTAGTTATTCTCTTAACAATTTCTATGTAACAGGCAACAAAACAAATCTTTTACTGTTTTCCAGTGATAACTTTGAGGCTTGTATCTTTTGCTCATATTGTTGTGACTTCAAGGAATGCTTCCATTCACTGAAATCTACTGAACTCATATAACTAATCTTTAGAGCCAAATTCAATGCTGTATTTTCTCTGAAGCCTTCCCTTTCATCAAGGCAAAAGTCATCCTGCGTGCTCCAATAACAGTTTGTCCCATTAACTAGTATGATATAATATTTTGGTCAAGTAATTTAAATATTTACTATGTTTTCTATTAAGCCATAAACTCTGAAAGGATATTTTACTCATCACTGTATCCTCCACAAAGTTTTACATGAATTACTCAGTAATACTTGTCAATTAAACACTTTATAAAAATCTTGATGCTTAAATTACATTAACTTTATCTGTGATTAGTGTCTTTATTCTGTTGTCTACTATCCATCTAAGACCAAGATACATATTTTTCTTCTGCACTGTTTTCTACTTTCTTTTTTTTGATGATTTATTTGAAAATCAGTTACAGAGAGAGAGGGAGAAACAGAAAGAGATCTTCACTGGCTGGTTCACTCCCCCAAGTGGCCGCAAAAGGCAGGGCTGAGCCAGGCCAAAAGCCAGGTTCTCCCACATGGGTGGCTGGGACCCAAACACTTGGACCATCCTTCGCTGCTTTCCCAAGCCATTAGCAGGGAGCTGGATCAGAAGTGGAGCAGCCATGACACAAACCTATGTTTATAACATGGGATGCTGGCATTGTAGGAAGCAGCTTTACCTGCTGTGCCACAACATTGGCCTCCATATTTTTCTTCTAAAACACAATGTCAGTTCTAAGACAATTAGACTTTCAAAGGTGCAAGAATCTTCAGAAGTCATTTATTCTAATCCTAATTTTAACCCTAATATTTTCTTCTTCAACTCACATTAATATCTTCTTGCTGTTTCTTGAGTTCTAAAGCCATATCCCTTGTTTCTTGTGCAAGTTCTTTGTTCTCTAGTGAAAGTTTATTGCAGTTTGCAGTTAATTCAGTATTCTTAAGCCTGTTTTTAAAAAGGCCATATCAAAATATTTACTTATGAAATGATATGATATAGAATTTAATCCAAAATAATCTTAGGTAAAGGAAAGAAGGGCTGGAGATATAAGTGAAACATGATTGACCATTAGTTAACAATTCCAGAGGCTGGGCAAAAGGCTTATGCTGATTACTCACAATATTAATTCTACTTTGTACACATGTGAAATTTTTCTATAAGTTTTCAAAATGCCATACATACTATTCAATTTATTTCTTTGAATATTCCCCACACTCTCATCCCTTCATATCTTTTCACAAATTTTGAATTTCATATGATCTTCTCTCTAGTAGACTCTTAGAAAACTATTTTAAACTTCTAATAATTTGATTAAAGTAGAACATGAAATCTAAGCTATTTTTAATTAAATTATTTTCCTTAAAATAAACGAAGTTAAGTTTAACCTTTGAGCACAACATCTAAGTTGCTCTTACAAGACCTCAAATGTTCTGGATGGGATTACTGTTGTTAATGGTTATTACCCAGAACCAATTTCAAGTGAAACTAAGGGAATGAGCAGCTCTATAAGTGATTTCAGGAACACTCAGTATCTTCTCCTATTTAATAACACTGGAAATTTCATTAATGAAGAAATAATTTTTTTCAATAAGCAATGAAAGGTAGAAAAAGCAAATATACCAAAGATAATATAAATTTACACTTAAGAATAAATAATTAACAAATCCATTTATTAAATGAAATTTTGAACTTTGGTTAATGCAAGAATTTTACTCAGGGCCCTAAAAAGGAATGATGAAAGGTCACCAGAAGCAGAGAACAGGACTAAAGGGGAAGGGGAAAGGATGTTTCATAAACTGTTTACTTCTCATTTTTATCTAGTGCTGAGAAGCAGTCAAAAGGGAAAACTCATGCTCACCACTAGGACTGGATACTTAAATTTACTTCTCTGTGAGAAATAACACAATAATTATTTTCCCCCACTTTCTCTTTAAACTTACTGGGGAAATGAAATCAATTATTTTAGTTGAACAATATAAAAATGAATTTGTATATTGACATTTTAGCAACACAAACCTATGAAATTATTTAGCAAAACAACCAAAATAACTATTTACAACTATAATTGCTTATTTTTATGAGGAACTAAACATCTCCCAAAAAAGTAATACAATGATATTCTAAAGTAGTTCTCAGCTTTGTTAGATATTCCTTTATACCATAGATAATGTACTTCTCTTAGCCATGAAATTGGTAAATTATTTTGATCTTCAATTGGGAATACAATTTCAAATCCAGTTAAATAGATATTGAACAGAATTCATTAATTTATTATTTGTTACCATAAATCTTATAACTAGAATATATAAACTGTTTATAGATGAATGGAAAACATACTTCTCATTTTCAAGCTCAGTTTTCATATCGTTAACCTGTTTTAAATAATGCTGCTCGCTTGTCTCAATGGCAGTTAATTTAATTTCCAAATCATGTACTTTTTTCTGTAAAATAAATGTGCATTATAATAGAAGGCATTTTTGTAATTTTCTCATATAAAAGGTATGGTCACTCTATGTCATTAAATTAAATATTTGGCAAAAATTTTGGCAGGAATATGTTAATATTTCCAGCTTAAGTATATTTAATGCAACAATCATAATTTTCAAACAATAAGTAATGGCAACCTCAATATAAATATAAATATACTATACCACATTTTATCAATTTTATTCTATAAAATAATTAATTTCAATTAAACTTTTATATTACTAAATAGAAATGTATTAATTTGTAAAATCAGTTACTTAAAAAACTAAGATATCTTTACTATGATAAAGAGAGAGTTACAATGTAAAATTTTTATGGACTGTAAACATATTTTAAAACTAGAACATGTGCATTATAAAAAACATTAAAAACTAAGATCCTAATTTAATAAAGGTTAAATTTTAAATGTACCAATTAAGAAATATTCAAGATAATAATAAATGTAATTGTTATAAACCATAGCATTATGCATAGCCTGATACCTTAAATGCTGACTTTTTTTCCACATTACAGTGTGAAGCTTTTCCAGATGTATCTTAAAACCATTTATTAGCATATTAAATGTAAAAAGAACATATCCTTTGGAAAGGAATTTTGTGAAGAAATATTTCACAAAGCAACTAGTTATACCATAATCTTTTTAAAATCTATATTCTATTAATAAAATATTTGAAAAAACTTTATCCATAAACCTCTTTGGTCTGGAGAAGACCAGTTAGTTCTTTTTCTGCTCCTTTTAATTCTTCAGCAATCTTCTCAAACTGTTTCTTTTCATCTAAAAGCTTTTGGTTTTCAGCCTATTTAAAAATATTAACATATCATGAGAGTCAAATCACATACATATTCAAATTAATTAAACTATCCAAAAAAGAGTTGTGGAAAGAACTATTAGCTGAGGCAGGTGTTGTGGCACAGCAGATTAGCTATCCCTTGGGATACTCAAAACCCATATGAGATTGCCTGTGTGGTTCAAGTTCCACCTACTCTGTGCCAATCCAGCTTCCTGATAATGTGCCGGGAAAGGCAGCAGATGATGGCTCAAGTATTTGGGTTCCTACCACCCATATGGTATTCCTGGTTCCTGGCTTTAGCTTGGCCCAGTCCCAGCTGTTGTGGCCATTTAGAAAGTAAATCAACAGATCCAACAGATGAAAGACATCTCTCTTCTTTCTCTCCTCTCTCTCTCTGTGTGTGTGTGTGTGTGTGTGTGTGTGTGTGTTTCTCTGTCTCCTTTGTCACTCTGCGTTTCAATATTTTTAATATTTTGAAAAATATTTTGGAGGGGCTGGCACTGTGGATCAATGGGTTAAGCAGCAGCCTGCAGTACCAGCATCCTACATGAGCACTAGTTTATGTTCTGGCTGCACCACTTCTGATCCAGCTCTCTGCTATGGCCTGGGAAAGCAGTAGAAGATGGCCCAAGTTCTTGAGCCCCTGCCATCCACGAGGCAAACCCAGATGAAACTCCTGACTTCCACCTGGCCAAGCACCAACCAATGCAGCCATTTGGGGCTGTAAACCAATGGATGAAATATATATCTCTCTGTGTGTCTCTCCTTCAGAACTCTCTGTACTCTAAGTTTCAAATAAAAACAAATCTTGAAAAATAAATAATTTCACTCTTTAAAAAAAAATAAAAAAAAAAAAGAACTGTGAGTTAGGGCCGGCGCTGTGGCATAGCAGGTTAAGGCCCTGGCCTGAAGCACCAGGATCCTATATGGGTGCTGGTTCTAGTCCCGGCTGCTCCTCTTCGGACCCAGCTCTCTGCTATAGCCTGGGATAGCAGTGGAAGATGGCCCAAGTTCTTGGGCCCCTGCACCCATGTGGAAGACCTGGAGGAAGCTCCTGGCCCCTGGCTTCAGATCAGCGCAGCTCCAGCCGTTGCGGCCATCTGGGGAATGAACCAGCGGATGGAAGACCTCTGTCCTTGTCTCTACCTCTCTCTGTAACTCTTTCAAATAAATAAAATAAATCTTAAAAAAAAAAAAACAAAAAACAAAAAACTATGAGCTCCTTCTTGGCTAAAATTCTTTAGAAACAGAAAATGTCATTATTTAAAAGACTAAATATAATGACAGACTATTTAATGGGCAGAGCACTGGAACAAGAAATATAAAATTTTTTAAACCAATATAGTGCTGCCCTTCTGTATTTTTTTTTTCAAATATATTATCTGTTTATTTGAGAAGTAGAGTGCAGATAGAGAGAAGGTGTCAGAGAGAAAGATCTTCCATCCGGTACTTCACTCCCCAGTCATAATGGCCAGAGCTGGACTGATCTGAAGCCAGGAGCCAGGAGCTTCTTTGGGTTTCCCATGCTCTTGCAGGGGCCTAAGCACTTGGGCCATCCTCTACTGCTTTCACAGGCCATACCAGAGCGCTGGATCAGAAGAGGTGCAGCCTTGGACTAGAACTGGTACCCTTATGGGATGCCAGTGCCACAGGCAGAGGCCCAGCCCACTGTGCCACAGCACCGGCCCCAAGAACTATAGAATTTTAATTTTAAAAATCATACAGGTCAGCAGGCCAGCGCCATGGCTCAATAGGCTAATCCTCCGCCTGCGGCACCGGTACTCCAGGTTCTAGTCCCGGTCTGGGTGCCGGATTCTGTACCGGTCGCTCCTCTTCCAGTCTAGCTCTCTGCTGTGGCCAGGAGTGCAGTGGAGATGGCCCAAGTGCTTGGGCCCTGCACCCGCATGGGAGACCAGGAGAAACACCTGGCTCCTGGCTTTGGATCAGCGTGGTGCACCGGCCGCAGTGCACCAGCCGCGGCGGCCATTTGGGGGTGAACCAATGGAAAAAGGAAGACCTTTCTCTCTGTCTCTCACTGTCCACTCTGCCTGTCAAAAAAAAAAAAAAAATCATATAGGTCAGGGCTGTGACTGTGGCATAGCGGGTAAAGTCACCACCTGCAGTGCCAGCATCCCATATGGGCGCTTGTTCGAGTCCCAGCTGCTCCACTTCCAATTCAGCTCTCTGTTATGGCCTCAAAGAGCAGTATAAGATGGCCCATGTCCTTGGGCCCCTGCACCTCCATGGGAGACCCTGAAGAAGCTCCTGGTTCCTGGCTTCAGATCAGCACAGCTCTATACACTGCAATCAACTACAATATAATGAAGCCTTATCCAATAAATTCATTAAACACGACTCTACCTGAACACAAAACATATGTATTGATTCTATATCATGCATATATTTTTTAAAGCTGCAGCTTTGTGGTCCAAAGAAATCGAAGGCACAATATCCAAAAGTACCAAATTATGATTAGCTATATAACATACATGGGAACTTCAAACAATTCATGAAAAAAAGGAATTGGAAGACAAGTTTATTTTGATGAAAAAAATTTGAAACCCATTTATAGTTTTTTCATAATATGCATTTTTCATGAACTTTGGGAAGCCCCTTAATATACTTGATCTTACATATGTGCTGTCAATACCTTGAACATGATAATCAACAGGATGTACAAAAATTGGTACAAATAAGAACATAGTTTTACTTGAAACCAAATGTTTTTCTGTTTTAGCTAAAAAAAAAACACACCTACAATGTGAGAGTCTAAGTTGGTAGATACAATATTATTTTGAAAAGTAATTTTTGTGTCACTGTGCACTTACTCCCCATGTAGGATCTCTGTCCTTAATGTGTTGTACTATGTGAATTAATGGTATAACTAGTACTCAAACAGTATTTTATACTTTGTGTTTCTGTGTGAGTGCAAACTGTTGAAATCTTCACTTACTATATACTAAATTGATCTTCTGTATATAAAGATAATTGAAAATGAATCTTGATGTGAATGGAATGGGAGAGGTGTGGGGAGCAATTCGGACTATACTGTTACTGGAATTAAGATTTATTCTATGCATCTGCTCTCCCACAATATGGCGCTGGGAGAGAAGTAAACAGCTTCTACCCAGCTGCCTCTCACCAACTTGACAAGCTGCAGGAGCTGCTCCTGATTGGAGGAGAGCGGCGTGCTCGGCGTGTGGGCAGCCGAGTTGGGATTGGTGGAGAGGACTATATAGGAGGAGAGAGACGGCATGGTGGCGTGGGTTGGTTGGAGAGTGCGTTGGAGAGTTCGCGGGGAAGTTCGTTACTTCGTTCTTTCTCATTTCTCTCTACTCATTCTTGCTTTGGGAGTTTGCTGTTTACTTATTCTTACTTTACTATAGAAAGGACTTGTAAAAAAAGGGAACAACAAGCGCCCGGTCCGGTGCGGCTCCTCCGCGTGCGGAGGAGCAGCAAGTGGTGCCGTGACTCGGATAGGAAACCTAGGAGGGAAAGACCGGGAAGAAGTGGGAAATTACTGGAGAGAGAGACTAGCAAAGAGCCTAGGGGAAGGCCGGACGGAAAGAGTGCCGGTGAAAAGCTAGTCAGAACCTAGGAAAAAAGCCGCGGGGGAAGAAAATTAGAAGCTAGGAAGGAGGTATTAACTGGGAACGTCTGGGAGACTCAGTCTTCCATTGCGCCCACTGCTCCAACATGTCACAGACGGTACAGACAATGGAGTTCTTTGGCTACTCTTTGCCCACTGGCTACCTCTTCCTCCTGCTGGGCACCATCCTCTGTTTCTCCCTAAAGATCATCTATGGGCTAAATATGGTTTCTCTCTCTCTCTCTTCCTACTCCCCACCTCCTCGCAGCTTTTCCTCTAAGCAAGGGAAACGAGGGGGGAGGAAAATTCATGCATTCGTAAGAGCAATCGTAGAGACGTCCCCCTGGTTTCCACAGCAGTGGAGGCAGGTGGGACGGAAAATGCGCGAGGCTGGGGAACCGATAGAAGTGCTGAAGCTGTGGCAACTCGTTGATCAGGTGCTTCAGAACCCCACGGAAGGGATCGAGTTGTTGCTTAATGAGGGGAGTGAAATGCAGGAAGAATTATGGCAGGGCAGCCAGGCGAGCAACTATTGTAACGAACAAGTGAGAAGAAAATCAAAGAAGGATTTAGAGAGCCAGGAAGCTTATGAGGGGGAGAAGGAAGCTGAGGAGGGAACCTCGCCCCCGAGAGAGATGCCTGGCCATACAAGGCTGGCAAATTCAACCATAAAGGATGAATCACCACCCCGGTATCGCCCATTGGTACTACCAAAGTTTCCTCCTGTAAAGAAAAGCCCCTTTTTTCCACATGAGATTGAAGAAGAGTGGGAGGAAGAAGGAGTGATGGAGGGAGTAGGTATGCAGGAGGAGCTAGAAAGGCCAAGAACCGAAAACAAGCAAAGGGGAGCTGTTTATAGAAAACCTGCTTGGGAGCAGTACCAGGAACCAGGCCAGGTGTTTCCTATAATTCAGGATCCACAGGGAAACAGGGGATGGACGCCTCTTGACCATAAGTTACTTAAAGAGTTGCAGCAATCAGTACAATTGTATGGGCCCCATGCAAGTTACACTCAGGCAATCCTTGATAACATCGGGCAGCAAGGCCTAATACCTGAGGATTGGAGAAACTTAGTAAAGGCGGTGTTAGGCGGGGGTGACTTCCTCTTGTGGCTAGCTGCCTATAAAGAATTTGCGCGAGAATATTCAAAGCAGAACTATCAAACAGGGAATCAAGCATGGGATGAGGAAATGTTAAATGGAGAAGGGCGATTTGCCTGTCCCGATGAGCAGGCCCGATTACCAACAGCTGTCCTCTTACAGGTGAGAGAGATAGCAAGAAGAGCCTGGAAGGTGATACCCAGAAAAGGAGAAGTAAGACACAGCCTAACTAAGATAGTACAGGGCCCTACCGAACCTTACGCTGATTTCGTGAACCGATTAATGGAAGCAGCAGGAAACATTTTCGAAACCGTGGAAGAAGCAATGCCCTTAGTCAAAAGATTGGCGTATGAACAGGCCAATAAAACATGTCGGGAAGCTCTTAGACCATGGCAGCATAAGGACATCCCTACCTTTTTGAAAATCTGTAGGGATGTCATGGATGATGTAGTTTCTGGATCACATGCTGCAGTAGCAGTAACCCGACAATTTAGACAGAACATGAGGGGACGTATATGCTTTAGATGTGGTCGAGAAAGGCATCCAATGAGGGAATGTAGGGCCAGATTTCCAGCCCGAGATCGGCAGGGCATAGAGAACTCGAGAAGACCAGGCCTTTGCCCACGCTGTAGAAGAGGAAATCATTGGGTCAGTGAATGTTACTTTAAAATAAACAGCGCAGGCAATCCCAGAGGATGCCAAATGAGCCGGGCCCCATAAGAAGATCAGGTGTATATGGTCAACAGCAAAAAAACGGAATGTGGGCCCCTGCACCCCGGGGCCAAAACAATCGGTGGGTGCCACGGTCCCAAAACCAAATATTTACCGCGCAGAGTTACGAGCCACCGAATATTCGGTACTGACACCTCAAATGGGGCCACAAGCCATAGAGGTGAGGGCAGAAGCAATTTCAGCGGAGCATAACGGACTTGGAATAATCGTAGGAAAAGAAACAAATGCTTTGAGAGGCCTAATGGTCATCACCGGAGTCATTCAGTTACCTTTTGATAAGTTAAAAGTGCTAATACAATCTACAAAGGGTATTATTCAAATCAAACCAGAAGAACCTGTGGCTCAAATACTGATCATGATTGGAGCGCAGGACGTTCATGGACCCCAAGGGGAGAAATTTGCAGCCTTGTCCCTATCTCTAGCAGATCGACCTCTGTGGACCTTAACCATTAGAGGAAAGTCGATTCAGGGCCTGCTAGACACAGGCGCGGATGTAAGTATAATTTCGGAAAATGATTGGCCGAAGTCATGGCCCCTTCAGCCAGGAGATAATACTTTAGTAGGCCTAGGTGCGGCCATGACACCATCAAGGAGTGCTCAGGTGCTTCATTGGCAGGATCAAGAAGGGAACAAGGGAAATGTGCAACCTTATGTTAGTGCACTCCCCATCACATTATGGGGAAGAGACATTTTAGAACAATTGGGACTGACGTTAACAAATGAGGATCAATTGGAGAGTTCTACAGGACGGCGTATTATGTATAAAAGGGATATCAGGAGAAAGGATTAGGCTCCAGAGAAGGCAGAAGGGACCTAGCCCAGCCCATAGGCGATTTTAAAAGACAGAACACGGGTTTTTCGTGGGGGCCACTGAGATGCAGCCGCTGCCATTGTCATGGCTGGACAACAAGCCAAAGTGGATACCACAGTGGCCCCTTACCCAGGAAAAGTTGGCTGCGGTAAATGATATAGTATCACAACAATTAGAGGCAGGCCATTTGCAACCATCAACCTCCCCATGGAATACGCCAATATTCGTGATAAAGAAAAAATCAGGGAAATACCGGTTGTTGCATGATTTACGGGCTGTTAATCAGCAGATGCAACCCATGGGGGCATTGCAACCCGGACTCCCGGTTCCTACTATGATCCCAAAGCATTGGCCACTAATAGTACTCGATCTGAAGGACTGCTTTTTTAGCATACCTCTACATGAACAAGACACTCAGAGGTTTGCTTTCACCGTTCCTTCCATTAATCATCAAGGTCCCGACAAAAGATATGAATGGAAGGTGCTTCCCCAAGGAATGACTAACAGTCCTGCCATATGCCAGCTATATGTTGACCAGGCAGTAGAGCCGGTTCGACAACAGTGCCCAAAAGTACAAATTTTACACTACATGGATGACTTGTTAATAACGGCTGAAAGTGAAAGTCACCTAATGGAAGCATATAAGCTGCTGCTATTATATTTGGAAAAAGTTGGGTTACAAGTAGCGCCAGAGAAGATACAAAAAGGGGAAGTAGTACAGTACTTAGGACTTAAAGTAACTTCTGAAAAGGTAACCCCATTAGAATTTGAAATTGCAATAGATGGGTTACAGACCCTTAATGACTTCCAAAAATTATGTGGCAATTTAAATTGGTTGAGGCCCTATTGTAAATTAACTACCGAAGATATGATGCCATTATTCAATATTTTAGAAGGAGATGCCCAGCTTGATTCCCCTCGTAGACTGACAATAGAAGCCCGCTTGGCGTTACAGAAAATTGAAAAACAAATTAAAGCAATGCAGATGGAAAGATGTGATCCACAACAAGCCCTAGAAATATTAATTTTTATGGAACAGCTGTATCCCTTCGCAGTCATTTGGCAAGGAGGACCCTTGTTGTTTGTATACCCACATTCACATGCACCGCGTGTACTATACACCCAAGGCATTGCGGTGGCCGATTTAATATTAACAGCAATAAAAAAGGCGACAGAAATGGCGGGGAAGACTCCAAAGCGATGTGTAGTTCCCTTTGCTCAAGAGGCAGTAGAAGCCTTTACAAAGGAATGCTGGCAATGGGCATACATAGTTCTCATTCTACAAATAGAGATTGACAATCACTACCCTCGCCATCCATTTGTTAACTTCTGCACACAGGTTTCAATAAAACGGGTGCAGAAGGTGCGAAGGGATCCAATTCAAGGGGCAGTTACCGTATTTACGGATGGAGCTAAAGGCGGAACAGGAGCAGCTATATTTAACAATCAACGATATTTTATTTTAACAGCATCCCCTTCTCCACAACATGCAGAATTAGCTATTATCGCAACAGTATTACGCAGAGAGAGCGCACCCATGAATATTTTGTCTGATAGTGCATATGTGGTGAATGCAGTTCAGATGCTCGCTACACAGTGCCTTATTCTTAAATCCTCCTCAGTCTATTCTTATCTAAGTGAAATTCAGGGGTTATTAAATCAAAGAGAGCATGCTATTTACATAGGCCACATAAGAGCTCATTCTAATTTACCTGGCCCACTTACTCGAGGAAACATGATGGCAGATCACTATTCAAGATTCTTGCTTGCATGCACCGCTTTGGAACAAGCTAAAGAATATCACTCTAAATGGCATGTTAACACCCACACTTTAAGTTTTAAATTTAATATTCCCCGCAAGCAAGCAGAAGATATCATTAGATCCTGTGAAAAGTGCGTTGTTACCATAGTTCCAAAGATTCCTGCGGGAGCCAATCCCCGTGGCCTTAAACCAGGACATATCTGGCAGATGGACGTTACACATATCCCCTCTTTTGGGCGACAAAGCTGTGTTCACGTCACTGTAGATACATACTCAGGTGTAATTATGGCCACAGCCATGAATAAAGAAGGAGTACAACAAGTAATCCAACACTGCTTGCAGGCTTTTGCAGCCTGGGGAGTTCCTCATGTGATCAAAACGGATAACGGCCCAGCGTATACATCAAAGCGTTTTGCTGCATTTTTGAAAGAATTCGGAATCTCCCATATTACCGGTATTCCATACAATCCACAGGGGCAAGCTGTGGTAGAACGCGCTCACTTATATTTAAAAAATTTAATAATTAAACAAAAAGGGGGAATAGGGGAAATGGCCACATCCAACAAGGACGTCTTGGCCCTAGCTCTTTATACAATTTTTTGAACAAGAAAAAGAACGGTAAAACACTTGCAGAAATGCATACTCAATCAGCTGATAAGGAATCAATACAGTGGGTAATGTGGAAGGATTTACAGGACAACCAATGGAAAGGCCCGTTCCCCTTACTCAGAAGAGTACGAGGCGCCGTTTGTTTTTTTCCACAGGGTGCAGCACAACCAATATGGACCCCTGAGAGAAGAATTCGGTTGATAAACCTGCCAGCAGAAGATCTAGAAGAAGAAAACTCCATTTGAGGAAGAAAACAATGAATAACCAATCCCTGAGATCTTTGGAATACGGGACATTTTTCAACAAACTCTGAAGTAGCAGGACAAACAAGAGTCAATAGCATGAAGATCGCACTGAACTTTACACAGGCGCGTATCAACGCCAAAAAATAAAAAGAAAGGGGGATCTGTGGGGAGCAATTCGGACTATACTGTTACTGGAATTAAGATTTATTCTATGCATCTGCTCTCCCACAATATGGCGCTGGGAGAGAAGTAAACAGCTTCTACCCAGCTGCCTCTCACCAACTTGACAAGCTGCAGGAGCTGCTCCTGATTGGAGGAGAGCGGCGTGCTCGGCGTGTGGGCAGCCGAGTTGGGATTGGTGGAGAGGACTATATAGGAGGAGAGAGACGGCATGGTGGCGTGGGTTGGTTGGAGAGTGCGTTGGAGAGTTCGCGGGGAAGTTCGTTACTTCGTTCTTTCTCATTTCTCTCTACTCATTCTTGCTTTGGGAGTTTGCTGTTTACTTATTCTTACTTTACTATAGAAAGGACTTGTAAAAAAAGGGAACAACAAGCGCCCGGTCCGGTGCGGCTCCTCCGCGTGCGGAGGAGCAGCAGAGAGGGAGCGGGAGATGGGATGCTTACAGGTGGGAGGGAGGTTATGGGGGGGAAAAGCCACTATAATCCAAAAGTTGTACTTTGGAAATTTATATTTATTAAATAAAAGTTTAAAAAAGAAAAGTAATTATTGCATGTTAATAGGAAAGACAATGCACTTACCAAGATTTTTTTCAATTCTTCAATTTCTATTTCTTTGTTATTTTTTAACATATTCATCTCTTCTAAAATAAACAAAAAGAATATAAATGTGTTAAAGGGGATTTAAAAAATAGAGAAAATAAATAAGAATGCTAAAAAAATGGAAAAACAAAGAGCTAGATTAATTCAAATAGAATTCTATAAAGCACAGAAGTCCAAACTTAACTATGCAAACATAATAATATATATTAATAGCAATGTATCTATACAGCTAATTCCACAGCCAAATACAACAAAAGCTTATGAAACAAAATAAGCAATGGATCTATATAACATATATTTGGAATAGGTCAGCATGTGTCTTTTTTTTTTTTTTTTTTTTTTGACAGGCACAGTTAGACAGTGAGAGAGAGAGAGAGACAGAGGAAAGGTCTTCCTTCCATTGGTTCTCCCCCCAAGTGGCCGCTATGGCCGGTGTACTGCGTCAATCCGAAACCAGGAGCCAGGTGCTTCCTCCTGGTCTCCCATGCTGGTGTAGGGCCCAAGGATCTGGGCCATCCTCCACTGCCTTCCTGGGCCACAGCAGAGAGCTGGACTGGAAGAGGAGCAACCAGGACAGAATCCGGCGCCCCAACCGGGACTAGAACCCGGGGTGCCAGCACCACAGATGGAGGATTAGCCTAGTGAGCCGCAGCGCCGGCCCAGCATGTGTCTTTACCTTCAACTCATCAATGTCTAAACATCTGCCTTCATAATCTTCACTCCAAATTTAAAAGGAGAAGTGATCCTCTTTTCTGAAGTTAATTCTAACCATTGTATTTTGGATCTCTATATTCCCTCCTTCTCTGGGAATTTAGCTGCTATATTATCAATATACACTGGTTCTATGTAGAGGAATCTTTAATTTCTCCTACTCTATAGAAATACCCTATCCAAATATAAATCAAAAATATCTGATTGACCTTTTGCCACTTATAAGCTACCATCAGATTTCTCATTTTGTTTTGCAGACAAATTTCTGTTTGCTACCTGCACATTTCTTTTTTTTTTAACTTTTATTTAGTAAAAATAAATTTCCACAGTATAGTTTATGGATTACATTGGCTTCCCCCCCATAACTTCCCTCCCACTCGCACCCCTCCCATCTCCCGCTCCCTCTCCCATTCCATTCACATCAAGATTCATTTTCAATTATCTTTATATACAGAAGATCGATTTAGTATATATTAAGTAAAGATTTCATCAGTTTGCACCCACACAGAAACACAAAGTGTAAAACACTGCTTCAGTACTAGTTATAGCATTACTTCACATTGGACAACACATTAAGGACAGATCCCACACCAGGAGTAAGTACACTGTGACTCCTGTTGTTGACTTAACAATCTGACACTCTTGTTTATGGCGTCAGCAATCTCCCTAGGCTCTAGTCATGAGTTGCCATGGCTATGGAAGCCCTTTGAGTTTGCCAACTTCGATCTTATTCAGACAGGGTCATAGTCAAAGTGGAAGTTCTCTTCTCCCTTCAGAGAAAGGTACCTCCTTCTTTGATGGCCCTGTTCTTTCCACTGGGATCTCACTCACAGAGATCTTTCATTTAGGTCGTCATTGTTTTGTTTTTTGTTTTTTGTTTTTTTTTTTTTGCCAGAGTGTCTTGGCTTCCCATGCCTGAAATACTCTTATGGGCTCTTCAGCCAGATCCGACTGCCTTAAGGGCTGATTCTGAGGCCAGAGTGCTGTTTAGGACATCTGCCATTCTATGAGTCTGCTGTGTATCCTGCTTCCCATGTTGGATCGTTCTCTCCCTTTTTTATTCTATCAGTTAGTATTAGCAGACACTAGTCTTGTTTGTGTGATCCCTTTGACTCTTAGACCTATCAGTGTGATCAATTGTGAACTGAAATTGATCACTTGGACTAGTGAGATGGCATTGGTACATGCAACTTTGATGAGATTGTATTGGAATCCCCTGGCACGTTTCTAACTCCACCATTTGGGGCAAGTCAGATTGAGCATGTCCCAAATTTGGGACATACCTGCACATTTCTTTCTTAACATTATGCAAAACTAATGCCTATACCTATGGTGGTAATAAAATAATGATCTCAAAGATCTCCAACAACCAGTTTGTAATGCTATTCCCTCTTCCTCATCATGAAGCTTTCTAGTATTTTATACCATTAACCACTGCTCACTTTATTCCCTTTGATTTTTAAGACCTTGCATTATTCATATTTCCTAACTGCTGTTTCTGTTATTCTTGCGATACCATTCTTTCTTGCCATTGTGAAGCGTTTTTACATTTTTTAAAAGATGAATTTATTTAATTATTTGAAAGGCAGAGTTACAGAGAGAGAGAGGGAGGGAGGAAGAGGGAAAGTCAGAGAGAGAGAGAGAGAGAGAGAGAGAGAGAGCTTTCATCTGCTGGTTCACTCCCCAAATGACTGCAATAGCCAGAGCTGAGCAGATCCAAAGTCAGAAACCAGAAGCTTCCTAAGGGTCTCCTATGTGGGTGCAGGAGCCCAAGGATTTGGGCCATCCTCCATTGCTTTTCTAGGCCATAGCAGGGAGATAGATTAGAAGAGGAGCAGCTGAGACTTGAACCGATGCCCACATGGAATGGCAGCACTGCAGGCAGCAGCTTAACCCACTATGCCACAGTGCCGCCCCTTACAGTGCTTCTTTTTAATACTTCCAATAAATTCAGTAGTATACTAATGAACTGAAAGATCTTTCCAGTCCAAATCTCTCACTTCTTCTCCTACCTTACATTTTTAACTACCCACAGAGTTCTCTAATTATGTCCAGCTATCATCTGTAATAAATTCTATTATGTTTCCTTACTGCTAAGGATTATTAATTATTAGAACCATTTACTGAAAATTTCTGTCTCTGCACATTATAAAAACTAACAATAATAATATAAATACATTATAACAATAAATAACAAAAAAGAACATTGAGGCCGGCGCTGTGGCATAGCCAGTAGGGCTGCTGCCTGCAGTGCCAGCATCCCATATGCATGCAGGTTCGAGTCACAGTTGCTCCACTTCCAGCCCAGCTCTCTGCTATGCCCTGAAGATGGCCCAAGTCCTTGGGCCCCTTCACCCTTGTGAGAGACCCGGAGGAAGCTCCTAGTTCCTGGCTTTGGATCAGCCCAGTTCCGGCTGTTGTGGCTATTTGGGGAATGAACCAGCAAATTGAACTCTCTTTTTCTCTCTCTTTCTCTCTTCCTCTCTGTAACTCTTTCAAATAAATAAATAAATCTTAAAAAAAAAAAAAAAAAAGACACTCCTTTGCACTTGGGCTATTTGAATAGCCATCAACCTTACTTCTTCTCCCCTTCTTTTTTCCTCACTACCTGCACTTTCCACCCATCATTAAATTTATCTGCCATATAGAAGCTATAATGTCCTTTAAAAAAAAAAAAACAGATCATATTATTCCTCTGCTCAAAATTTTTCAATGGATTTCTTTCATTGTTGGAATCAAAGTCAGAATTCCTTTCCTTGGCTCTACTCCCAATACTCCTGTCACTCCTCTCTCCATATCACTTCTTAACCTCAATAACAGAAGCTTTCATTCAGTCAGCTGAATGAACCAAGCTCCCTCACACCTCAGAGAATTTCTACATGCTTTTCCTTTTGACTGAAAAGTTCTCTATAACCCATTGCTTTACCTAACACTTTAAATCTCATTTACTTTTTAAGTCTCAGCTAAAAGCCACTCTGATCACCAAAACTACGTTAGACCCTATTATTTTCTTACATGTCATTATTTTTATTCCCTTCATGGCATTTATCCCAAATTGTAACTAAATATTTCTATGTTTTATCTCCCTCTACAAGAAAAGACCATGTCTGTTATGTTTCTTCATTATATGTCCAAGGCTAAATGAAAAATAAATAACTAAGTCTTAGCTCAATAGTTGTTAGATTACATACTTAGTAACCAAAGTGGAAGCAGTAGAACAGATGGAGAATCTGTTACCAGTCTGAAAGAAAAGATGTCTGCAGATATGAAAAATGACCACAATATGACCTGTTTAGAGCAGTATTAAACTGAGTTGAGGATAAGAGACACAAGAAGCAGCAAAGCAAAAAAAAATAAATAAAAATAAATACCATGACAAAAAATTATTCTAAATAGCTTTAAGAGTTCTTAGATGTTTTTAAAGATTTATTTATTTATTTGAAAGGTAAAGTTACAGAGAGGCAAAGGCAGAGGCTGAGAAAGATAACTTGTATTAGCTGATTCGCTCCTCAAATGGCCACAACAACCAGAGCTGGGCTGAACTGAAGCCACGAGTCAGGAGTCAGGAGCTTCTTTTGGGTATCTGGGTATCTGGGTATCCCACATGGGTGCAGGCCCCCAAGGGCTTGAGCCATCCTCCACTGCTTTCCCAGGCACATTAACAGGGAGCTGGATCAGAAGTGGAGCAGCGGGGACTCTGTCAGCGCCCATATGGGAAGTGGCACTGCAGGTGGTGGCTTCACCTGCTATGCCACAGCGCCATCCCCACAGATAGCTTTAACTTACTTGGTATGCACTGTCCTCACTCCAAACGAGCAATGAAAAGACAGCTAGTATCTAAGCAGTTTTAACTTGGGCAATAAGGTGGTTCTTAAATTTTAAACACTGAATAATCAGATTTGTATTTTTAAAGAAGCATTCACACAGAGATGCAAAGAATGAGCAGGAGGTGAACAAACTGGAAACAAGGGGCCAATGATGGCCATAGCAGGTAAAGATACCAGCTGTGGTGCTGGCATCCCATATGGGTGCCAGTTTGAATCTCAGCTGCTCCACTTCCAATCCAGCTTACTGCTATGGCTGGGAATGCAGTAGAAAACTGCTCAAGTGCTTGGGCCCCTGCACCCACGTGGGAGACCTGGAAGAAGCTCCTGGCTCCTGATCGGCACAGCTCCAGCCATTGCAGCCAATTGGGAAGTGAACCAGTGAATGGAGCACCTCTCTCTCTCTCTCTCTTTCTCTCTCCCCCCCTTTTCTTCTTTCTGTGTAACTCTTCAAATAAATAAATAAATCTTTAAAAAAAATTGCTCCTTCCATAAAGCCTTTCCCAACTCTGCAGTCCACATTGACTTATTCAAGTTCCTCTTGGTACTAGCATTAACATCTCTCTGTTAATAAATCTATTTGCACAAACATAAATACATATAAAATACAAATACATTATTTATATATGAAGGCACTTAGAAACTGTGAAAATTTAATTAAAAGACGACTTTATTTTGGTACAAAAAAATGTTGAAACACAACTATACAAGAAACCTTCAATACTGTGGGGCCAGCGCTGTGGCACAGTACACCTGCAGTGCCAGCATCCCATATGGGTGCCAGTTAGTGTTCCAGCAGCTCCTCTTCTGATCCAGCTCTCTGCTATGGGCCTGGAAAGCCATGGAAGATGGTCCAAGTACTTGGGCCCCTGCACGCACATGGGAGACCCAGAAGAAACTTCTGGCTCCTGGTTTCAGATCAGGCTCAGCTCCAGCCATTGTGGCCATTTGGAGAGTAAACAAGCAGATGGAGGACCTTTTTCTCTGTCTCTCGCACTCTCTCTCTGTAACTCTGCCTTTCAAATAAATAAATAAAATATTTTTTAAAAAAATGCATCTGACAGCTGCAACAGCCAGAACTGGGCCAGGCCAAAGACAGGAGCCTTATATGGGTCTCTTACATAGGTGGCAGGGGCCCAAACACTTGAGCTGTCTTCTGCTTTTCGCAGGCCATCAACAGGGTGCTGGATTGGAAGTGGAACAGTCAGGACACAAACTAGTGCCCCTGTGGGCCAGCATTGCCCATATGGGCCCATAAGCCAGCATTGCAGGTTGTGGATTTACCCACTACAGGACAATGCTGGTACCTAAATTTATCTTTTAATTCCATTTCCCATGAACTCTTTAAAGTATCCTCACATTTATATAACTTTATCAATATATGTGAGGATATGATTCATTATAAATAAAACATAAAAAATAAATAGAAATTCTAATGTGTTCTTCCCATATGCTAGTGGAATTCTTACTCCCTTATTTTGGATATCACTGCTCTATTAACCTTTTGCCCATATAAGAGATTTTTCATGAGCATGGTATTTCACTACTTGTGTATGTTCCCAAAACATGCAATGTCTATGAAAACACTAAAAATCACAGACGCTACTGTTTCAGTTATAGGATTCCTATTCAAACTTCTCATAATGTACGCTCCAAGAAAAATCATACTGTACAACTGAATTTTTTATATGGTAAACAACTGCCATTTCATTTCAATAGTAGACTGAATTGTTACAAGGAAATACTCATTTAAAGGTATGTTAAATGATCAAAATTATGTTTTAGTCTACAACATTCTATTAAATAATTCTAAACAAAGTAGATACACACAGTGATTTGAAATACAAGTTTATGCTCTGAAGGAAGATTTAAATATTGGATGAGGAATGTACTTACAACCATTCTTATAAAATAAAAATAAAATTATTTGAATATTACAATTTTGGATGACCAAGGGTTAATGAATAGCGGAAAACTAAACATTGCAAAAGGAAAAGCATAAATACGGTTCAAAAGTTCAACAAAATAGCCTAAACTACTTATGAAATCTTAAACAAACATTTAAGATATTAGGCAGAATTAGTTAAAAATATTAAACTATTGTGTATTCAAAGCTAATAAGCTTACAGAAAGCTACAGTGTCATTCTAGAAAAATATCTGCCAGTCCTTGAATTATTTTTTAATGTTTACAAATTAAAAAGAATTCTTTTCACTGAAATTGGAAAAGAAAATATTTTGTATCTTTCTAATTCTCCATATTTGTAGATAGGAAAATTTATAAATATGAAGCATAGGTTATTAGTAAATAGCTGTAACAGAATTTGTCCCTCTTTTGATCACAAAAGTTGTTAAATATTAACAATACCATGTGATAAAACAAGATCACATTTTGTAATAAATAGTATATAATTCAACATAACTAAGCAATGACATTTTAAATTTTAATTAAAACAGAACAGATAATTACTAAAGTTCCTGTATCCTAAAATAAACAAAATATAAACATTTCTTAAATTCTTTTCACTTCTAGATATCTATGAGCTGCTTAGTGAAACTGAATATTCTTTTTTTTTTTTTTTTTTTGACAGGCAGAGTGGACAGTGAGAGAGAGAGACAGAGAGAAAGGTCTTCCTTTGCCGTTGGTTCACCCTCCAATGGCCGCCACAGCCGGCGCGCTGCGATGGCACATTGCGCTGATCCGAAGCCAGGAGCCAGGTGTTTCTCCTAGTCTCCCATGCTGGTGCAGGGCCCAAGGACTTGGGCCATCCTCCACTGCACTCCCGGGCCATAGCAGAGAGCTGGCCTGGAAGAGGGGCAACCGGGACAGAATCCGGCGCCCCGACCGGGACTAGAACCCGGTGTGCCGGCACCGCAAGGCAGAGGATTAGCCTATTGAGCCACGGCGCCGGCCTGAATATTCTTTAAGGTTTAAATTTTCTGTTTTCAAAAAATATCAAATAAAAATTATCAAAAAATCACTATTAGCAAATGTCAGAGGAAAAACTATTTTTTATTCTGAAACAGTGTTTATATCTTTATAAGTAGCTAAAATTATCTAAGTACATGTTACTCTCTAAAACTTACCAAGGTCCCTTGATTTCTTCTGAAGCTCCATGTTAACTATTTTCAACTGGTCTTCATTTTTTTCCAGCCTTATAAAATACATAATTTTACAACTTAAAATATGCCTTTATTCAGAATTCATCTATTAAGTAGAACTGCTGCAAATTAGCAACTGATACACCTTAGCACAGACTTACCCAATTATTAAACATTTATTTAATACCTACTCTGTGCTGTAGTGTAACATTTTTAAATAAAATGTTACAATAATAAAAATATATATTAATTACATCTACATAAAACCTTACAGCTTATAGTTACAATGTGTCTCTTTGTTTTTGTTTTTAAGATTTATATATTTGTTTATTTGAAAAGCAGAGTTAAAGAGAGAGAAGAGACAGAGAGCTTCATTCTCTGGTTCACGCCTCAAGTGGCCGCAACAACCACAGGCCAACACCAGGAACCTGGAATTCCATCTGGGTCTCCAACATGAGTATCAGGAGCCATCGTACACTGATCTCCCATGCCATTAGCAGGGAGCTGGATCAGAAGTAGAGCAGCTGGGACTTGAACCAGAGCTCAAATAGGATATTGGCATCACAGGCCATTTCATAACCCACTGTGCCAGAAAACGCACCCCTGTCTCCTAGTTATTGATAATGAAATTAATGCATACTAGAACTGTGAGAGAGATTATAACTATTATTATCCTGAATTCTGCCTTAATTTCTCTGTTTCCTCAATCTATAAAACAGAGCTAAGGGGACATACGAACCTTTGCGAACTTACAATTTGAAAATTGCCTGGGTAGGTCAATCAACAATATATATAAAATTAGGGTCTAGAACTGTGGCACAGCAGGTAAAGCTGCCGCCTGCAGTGCCAAAATTCCACATGGCTGCCCGTTACAGACATAGCTGCCCCACTTCCAATCCAGCTCTCTGCTATGGCCTAGGAAAGCAAATATGACCCAAGTGCTTGAGACCCTGCACCCATGCAGGAGACCCAGAAGATTCAAATGGCCGTTGTGGCCATTTGGGGAGTTAACCAGTAATTGGAAAATCGCTCTCTCTGTCTCTGCCTCAAACTCTGACTTTCAAATAAATAAATAAATAAATGACAAAGCAGGCTGCTCCTACCTAAGAAGGAAACATACACATGGTTTTAAACACACACACACACACACACACAATATATAAAATTAAGGGAGCTAGAAAACCTAGCTTTTCTTTCCTCACCACGTACAAGCAGAAAAGAAGAACTAACTGCTACACTCATGACTTTAAAGAGAATCTTGTTCTCCTTTATCCTATCAAACTTAAATAATTCTAATGCTAATGTGACAAAAACCTAGGTCTCAAAACACAGCTTTATATGAATATATCCTTAATATAAAGTAGTGAAAAACAGAACAAGTCTTTTTTTTTTTTTTTTTTTTTGACAGGCAGAGTTAGACAGTGAGAGAGAGAGAGACAGAAAGGTCACCCCTCAAATGGCCACTACAGCCGGCATGCTGAGCTGATCTGAAGCCAGGAGCCAGGTGCTTCCTCCTGGTCTCCCATGCAGGTACAGGGGCCCAAGCACTTGGACCATCCTCCACTGCCCTCCCGGGCCACAGCAGAGAGCTGGATTGGGAGAAGAGCAACCGGGACTAGAACCCAGAGCCCATATGGGATGCCAGCGCCACAGGCGGAGGATTAACCAAGTGAGCCACGGAGCTGGCCCCCAGAACAAGTCTTTAATAAAACTTTTAGGCAAGCTGCTATTAAGATGAAATGCAAATGAACTGTTAAACATAAGAGTGGGAATAAGAGAGGGAAGAGATGTACAATTTGGGACATGCTCAAGCTGACTTGCCCCAAATGGTAGAGTTAGAAACATACCAGGGGACTCCAATTTAATCCTATCAAGGTGGCATGTACCAATGCCATCTCACTAGTCCAAGTGATCAATTTCAGTTCACAATTAATCATAATGAAAGTTCTAAGAGTCAAAGGGAGCACATAAACAAGTCTAGTACCTGCTAATACTAACAGATAGAATACATAAAGGGGAGAGTGATCCAACATGGGAAGCGAGATACTCAGCAGACTCATAGAATGGCGGATGTCCTAAACAGCACTCTGGCCTCAGAATCAGCCCTAAAGCATTCCAATCTGGCTGAAAAGCCCATGAGAGTATTTCAGGCATGGAAAGCCAAGACACTCTGGCAAAAAAAAAAAAAAAAACTAAATGAAAGATCTCTGTGAGTGAGATCCCAGTGGAAAGAACAGGGCCATCAAAGAAGGAGGTACCTTTCTCTGAAGGGAGGAGAGAACCTCCACTTTGACTATGACCTTGTCTGAACAAGATAAGAGTCGGAGAACTCAAGGGGCTTCCATAGCCTTGGAAACTCATGACTGGTGCATAGGGAGATTACTGATGCCATAAACAGGAGTGTCAATTTGTAAAGTCAACAACAGGAGTCACTGTGCACTTACTCCTCATGTAGGATCTCTGTCCTTAATGTGCTGTACATTGAGACTTAATGCTATAATGAGTACTCAAACAGTATATTTCACTTTGTGTTTCTATGGGGGTACAAACTGTTGAAAGCTTTACTTAATGTATACTAAACTGATATTCTGTAAAAAAAAAAAAAAAAAAAAAGAAGAAGAAGAAGAAGAAGAAGAAGAAATTATCAATTCCCAACTTGACTCTCACTGGGATTAAACATGACAATAGGTCTTATCTGATTTCATCATCATTTAAAAAATCATCTATTATTTTTCACTTTATGTTTCTGTGTGGGCGCAAACTGTTGAAATCTTTACTTAATGTATACTAAACTCATCTTCTGTATATTAAGAGAATCGAAAATGAATCTTGATGTGAAAGGAAGGGGAGAGGGAGTGGGAAAGGGGAGGGTTGCGGGTGGGAGGGATGTTATGGGGGGAAGCCATTGTAATCCATAAGCTGTACTTTGGAAATTTATATTCATTAAATAAAAGTTAAAAAAAAAAGTTAAAAAAAAAAGAGCAGGTGTCCCAAGGTGTCTGTCTCACAGCTGTTCAGTGTGAAGGTGGTTTGTAAGCAAGGACAGGCAAGGCAATACTTACACAAGTCCACTGTAAAATACTTCATTACTTTCAAACATGTAGTGAACGGTCATAACCCATAACCAGAAAAGGGAGCCTATTGATTGGGCAAATAGTCCTGTTAGATTTTAACACTACCTCGTACTGATTCTCTCTCTAGTAATGAGACCAATGTTCCTGTTTTTGATGGGGGCATTAACCTTTCTGATTGAGACAGTTCAAACCCATCTCATCTCAGAACACTGGGTCTAGGAGTCAACTTCCTGCCACACTGATGCATTTTCCTTGGAGTCTTCAGTGATGTTACGTC